TTCCATGTATTTCTATTGACTCTGTTTTAGAAAAGGACGTGAGCTGGAGCGTGTGCCCCAGTGGGTGAGGCACTGCTCAGGTCACCTACATCCCACTCTGCGGTGCCTGGGCTGAGTCCTGGTTCCAGTTGCAGTTTCAGCTCACAGCTAACGTGCACCTGGGGTGGCAGCAGTGAAGGGGACAGCCTACACTACTAACTTTTTAAAAGTTAAAAAAAAAAAAGTGGTTCATACTATCTCCAGTATCTGAAGTTCACATCCCTTTTGGTGAAAGCCCACGACCTTCTTACATTATCAAGATAACCAAGAGACTCGGCATGTTATCAGTCACGTAAGGAAAGAAGCGCTGTGGGTTTCCTTTCTCACAAGAAGTTCTTACAAGAACGCTTGTTTAGTCTCCCTTCCTTGACTATCTGCTTCTTAAAGAAGGCAGAAAAAAATGCCAGGACATCTGGCAGCCATGGGTTCCCCCACCCACCGGGAATTCACCCAGGCCATGATGTCCAAGAAGACACAAGCCCTTGCCCCTGGCCAGGCCAGGACCTATGTGCACCTGTCGCCACACAGATAATGAAGAAGCCACAGGAACAGAGGACTCCAGTGCCCCTGAAGAACCTTCCAGAAGGACAAAGAACAATCTCATGAGCACGATGTGGGCATTCCCTGGCTGGTGCAGAGTGCTGCCTGCTTGCGTTATAACACGCATCCCTGCTACTGGCTCCCACGGTAGAGTGCAACACAAGATTCTGCTCAGCCAACGCTTCCAGAAGTTTCTGAGCAGGAGTTTGTGACACAGAGCAGGCAGTGGCCCCGCTGCCCCCCAGCTCAGCTTGGCAGGGGGCGGGGGGAACGCCCTTCCTTAAACTCCATATCATCTCCCTGGATTCCAGCTTCCACAGAGGCAGTTCTTCTGCCTATCACACAGAAGTCCCCAGGGTACCACACGAGCCTTGTGAACGGGCAGTCATCAGCAGGCCACACGCCAAGTCCCCACTCCAACATCCCATGCCTTCACTCCCCCACGTTCCTGACCGTAAGCGTTAATGGTCCTGCACTGTGGTCAAACTCAACGAGCAGCTCCAACACAGTGCTATATGACAGGCAAGCAGGCACTGGGCTGGGGGACACAAAGATAGGCTTAGGATAGGGCAGGCACTGAGGAGGTTCAAGTGCTGGGGCTAACTGAGCCCTCAGCAAGTGGAATGGAACCTGCATCAGCTGGTTTACTCTCCAAATGCTCAAAACAGCTGGAACTGGGATGGCCCAAAGCCAGGAGCCATGGACATGCAGGGGCCCAAGGACTTGGGCCATCCTCCACTGCTTTCCCAGGCCATAAGCAGGAAGCTGCCTCAGAAGTAGAACAGCCCATACTTGAACCAGCACCCATATGGGATGACAGCATTACGCCTGGCAGCTTTACCAGACACGCCACAGCAGCAGCTTCAGCTCTGCCCTTCTGATTGGTGCAGAGAGATTTCCAGTGCAGGGCCGGAGCCACCACCACTTTCCTCCCCTCTGTCCTCCACAGGGCAGGCAGGGGCTTCCGCAGAGTCTCTGGCCAGTGATGAAACACAGCTGGACTTCAGTGTCACTGCTGGGTCCTCAGTGTAAAAACATGTCTCTGGCATTTATTTTTACGATTGCTTTCTGTTTGTGGCATGCGATTGCTGGTTTTGTTTACAAGAGGATACCAAGTGTGTTCAGTGGTTTTCTTTGTGGCTAGAAGTCAGCTGACTTGAAAAGCAAATATGCAATAAAATACTGCAGGAGTTATGTGCCTATCAATTTTTTTTCCAGCAAAACCCGTGTAGGTAGTGCATGTTTCAGTCCAGATGTGATAGAAACCAGGGCTCTGATGAACGAGGCAGCAGGGACGTCAGGGTGAGCCTGAGGGCCCAGCAAGGCAAGGTCCAGGACAGAAAAGACTCCGGACATGAGCCAAGACCCAGGGCCAGTGTGACCACGTGATAGAAAGGACACTGAGACCAAAAGCCCTGACAGCCATGAGGCTAAGGGGATACGCCCAGGTCTTCACTGCTGACCTGGAGACACCAGTGGTCTCCAGCCCATCCCTCACCCGTAGGCTGGGTTAGGGATGAAGGGGAGGCAGGTGGATTGGGGTTCATGGACTTGAGGAAGCAGCTGCTCCGTTAGCACAATGATGCCTGGGGAATACCCTGGTCCCTCGGGGGTGTGTGACTCATCACAAAGCCCACGATGCCTCCTGGACGCCCAGCTGGGGCGCAGGATGGACACAGAGCAACGGAGTGAGGCTGGAGGCAGGTGTCAGCCAAGCAGCCTGCTGCAATACACACACTTAGCACCATATATGGCATGAAAAGGGAAAAGGGGGGAAAAAAGATTGGAATAGGTTTAAAGAGAGAAAGAAAGAAAAATACCTAAAGATAGCCTAAACAAAACACAGCAGCACCCCTCCCCTCCCCGCAGCAATCCCCACTGTCTGCTGGCCATCTGGTGTGTGATAAGCCACAGCACCCTTATTTGTCTACCATGACTTGGCCAAGGAGCCCAGAGCCAGACTGTGCAAAAGCACCACTCGGGCCAAAGACAGGCTGTGCATACTCTCCCGTCTGGCTCCCGTCGCCGCCATCTGCCATTTCCCTCCCCTATGGCTGCTGCTAGCCGGGCCCTCACACCCACTGTAGCATTCATGGCTGTTTTCCCACAGCCCACAGTCACAGTACCACACTGGGGCCAGCTCACCGGTGTCTCACTGTGCCCTGCAGGCACTCACCAGGGCTTCACCCATGGCCTGGACAATCATGGGCAGCAAACAGTTTTGCTGAATGTAGTGGCCCCACATTCTTCTTTTAACTTGCATGTATGTTTTTGGAGAGTCAGAGAGAAAAAGAGAATTCTTCCTTCCACTGGTTCATTCCTCAAACAGCTGCAATAGCCAGGGCTGAGCCAGGGCAAAGCCAGGAGCCTGAAACCCCATCCATGTCTCCCACATGGCTGCAGGGGCCCAAGCAGCCGGTCCATCTTCTGCTACCTTCCCAGACGCATTAGCAAGGAGTTGGATAGGAAGTGGAACAGCCGGGGCTTGAACCAGTAACCATGGGGGATGCTGATGTCGCAGGTAGCAGCATAATCCGTCCATCCACAACATGGGTTCCAAAGTATCATCAGCCCCTTTTACAGGTGATATCAACTCTTGAATCCCGGAGGATTCAGAGTTCTCAATCTCGCAAGCAACACCAGCAGCCATCTCCTTACAGGAGAAAAGCCCAAGCAATATCAAGTCACCGCAGGTTTCTATTCATTAAAAAGGCCTGGCTCCCTATCCCATACTATGTATGTGATACACATTCATACCAACCCAAATTCTATTTCATTCTAAAAAAAAAGATTCATCTATTCAGACTCAAAATTTCACTGGAAATCTTATTAGTCTTTCTTAAATCCGGCAACCATGAACATTCAGGGATAGCAGGACCAATCCCATGGGTAGCTCATTGGTCAGCGTAGCAGCAGCCATGCCACTGGCCGGGGCCCACTCTGTAAAGGCTTGCCAGCCCCTGGGGACCCTTATCTCGTAGCAAGGACCTCTGGTAATGACCTACAAGAGACAACTTCCCAGCCACAGCTGGAAGTCACAAAAAACTCTACTCAATCATTTGCAGGACAGACCTAGCCAAAAGGAACCCAATAGGGAGGCTTGTCCCCAGCCAGTGTGCAACTACCACACACAGGTGTTGGCAGGGACTGCCCAGGACCCCTCCCCCTGTCCTTCCCCCCGGGTGACACTGCTGAGCCCATGTAATCCAAGAGGCAGGTGGGGCTTAATGGGAGCATGAGACATACACAAGGAGCCAACCCCGCAAGCCCTGGGCAGCTGGGCAGGGCAGGCCCTGGCATGAGTCCTGGCAGAGGACACAGCCCAGCCCCACTAGAACGCATCTCTGCGATATGGACTCTGAAGCGCTGGGCAAGGCTCGTGGCTATGTGGCCATTCCCCTATTCACAGCCCAGAAGCATCCAACAGCAGCTGTCACGCTCCTGTTCTGACATGACAACGCACTCACTGAGCAACAAGGCATCATCTAGCCATGGTTTTATTTTGCTATTTTTACTACCAGTCAGAAAGCCATTGGCTCAATGTATCCTTTCTCTAAGTCAAAAATGTTACACGCTTGGGAGTCATGTGCAGTCCAATCAAATATCAGTTCCTTTATATTCCTCATAGAATGTTTCATTCCCACAACCACCTTTCAAGGTCAATATTAGTGTGTCCATCTTAGAGATGCTCAGATCAAGACACACAGGGAACACAGTAATCACACACTGGTTTACACCAGGGTCTGTATGATTCCAAATCCCACAGCTCATTGCACCCACTTTATCGCCTGGATCATGCAGCCCTCATGGAGGCCTTCTTTGTTCAATGTCCCTGCCTGGGGGTTCAGCAGCTGGCCATTCCTGTTGCATCAGGCTCTTCCAGCCTTCAGCCCTTCCAGCACTTTGCCTGCACAGCAGGGCCCTCCCTGTAGCTATTCACAGCACAGCCTCCCGAATTAGCAGCAAAGTGTATTTAACAAACAATTTCAAGAAGAGAAAAACATTTGAAAGTTTATTTAGAGAGAGAGGGGATAGAAGGGGCCAAAAAATGCATGCCTAAAATAAACAAAATCATCAAGAAGGGGAAAAAAAAAATCTAGTCCAACCAGTTTTAACATGCCTAAACTGGGACTACGAGCTAAGGTGTGGTGGGCCACTGAGACGGGCATCAGGAATGGCGTGACCCAGCTAACCCTGTAAAGACCACTGAGCCTCACTCAGGGCTAAGAAACCTCAGCCCAAACCTTATCAACCAAATCAAGTGCAAGTCAGCGCCCATCCCTGGTCCCCAGCCCCTTTCAGGAGCTGAGACCTGTAAGATATGACAAATGAATGACAAAGACATGGAGAAAAACACTTCTGCTAGCTCCAAGCATACACCTGACAGAGAACACGAGCTGGGATGGGGGTGGGGGACTGACCTTCACATGGGCCACGTAGTGGCGACACGCCTCCTCCAGGTACGCCAGCTGCAGCTTCTCTGCCACCTGGCCCACCGTCTCCCCCGGCAGCACAAAGTAGACCCTGGGCAGCTGACCCTTCTCCTTCTTGGCCACATCAGCAGTCAGGACATAATTCAGGCCTGTGGAGATATGAGAGGCCAAAATATGAGCTCAGTGTCAGGGCCATGTTGCATACTATGCCTACCCCCTCAGGGTCCGGAGCAGACCCTCCTCCAGACACCCCTGCTGCCAGCTCACAGCATCCAAGGGGATAAGGACATCGCCAGCCCTTGCAGCATTGCTCTGTGTCCCATGACACAGCTCTCTCTGTGATATAAGGCAAAAGCCACCTGCTCACACAGTATCAACCTGCTGTCGTCGCCCGGCACAGGGCAGGACTGTGACAAGCACACATCTCTGTAAACCCGTGGACCTCCGCCACAGAGGAGCAAGGCATCCTGTATTCTTCACTCTAATCAAGCACTTTGACTCATGTCCACCTTGAAGAAGTGGCACTTCCAGCCATTCTGCTCTACCACCACGGCACATCCTATACCCACACAAACATGGGTGACAAGACTGCCAGGCAGCCAACTGCTATGAACACTGTGCTCTCAGCAAAAGGTGACTCCACTGAGGCCTGGGCTAAACTCCCTTCACCCCGATACCCAAATGTATAGTGCCCAATGACAGAACCTCTGCGACAGTGTGTGATTTGAATATGCATTCCATAGTTGGGGGAAGTGTTGTAGTAGAGCAGGCTGGGATGCAGCTTAAAACTCTGGCATTCCACACCAGGCTGCCCCACTTCCAATCCAGGGCCCTGCTAATGTGCCTGGGGAGCAGCAGATGTTGTCTCCAATGCTTACATACCCGACATTCACACAGGAGACCTGGGTGAAGATTGTGGCTCGGGGCTTTGGCACGGCTCAGCCTCAGATACTGCAATATCATCTGGTGCATCAGTCAACTGATGAAAGATACTTCTCTCTCTTTCTCTCTCTCTCTCTTTCTCTCTTTCTCTCTCTCTTTTTACCTTCCATATAAATAACAAATCTTAAAATATCCATTTTGGATAAACCAGAAAAACCTCACCTCTGTTGTTTACAAGACTGTACATATATATGCAACAACATGCTGTATTGGGCATTAATCTGAGAGAAAGGGAGACACACACACACCGAGAGAGAGAGAGAGAGAGGATCTTCCATCCTCTGATTCATCCCGCAAATGGTTGTAGCTGGGCTGATCCAAAAGCAGGAGCTAGGAGCTTCTTCCAGGTCTCCCTACATGACTGCAGGGACCCAAGCACTTAAGCCGTCCTCCATTGCCTTTCCCAGGTACATAAGCAGTGAATTGGATCAAAAGTGGAGCAGCTGAGACTCAAACTGGCGTCTATATGAGATGCTAGCACTGCAAGCAGAGGGCTCATCCTGCTAGCATGCCATGACCCTGTCCTCTCCCCAGTGGCTTTGGTATCACCAGCTCTACTTTCCCCAAGCTTAGGCTGGAGGCTGGCCCCTGCACAACTCTATTTAGGCTTTAACTGGCTGGTAGATTCAGGAGAACATATCATTTTGATGACATTCTGTCCCTAGAAGGACCAGACAAGGAAGCTAAGCAGTGGTGAGATGAGCCCATCTTCCCCACACCTGCCAGCATGAAGCACGCGATGTCAGGCAGTAGGCTGGGGTGTGGCTTTTAATAACATCAAAAGATGGCCGCCAAGGGTGGGGGAAGACCCAACAGGGGACAAGCAGCTGATCCAGCCAGGCCTTGTGGGGCTGTCCCAGGCTTATTTGTGTGACAGCTAATGGACTCTTTGGGCCACTGCCACCGCAGGGACAGTACCCTACTGTCTGCCCCAGCTTGTTCTCCCAAGGCAAGGCTGGATCTCTGGGATGGACCCAGAACCAAGATAAGCCCAGGAGACATTATTACTAAGAAGAAAAGAGTGACTGAAGGGAAAATGTTGCCAACAGGGCACATGGGTGCCAATGGGGACTAGAGGGGCACTGGTCCCAGTGGGGAAAAAGCAACAAAAGGGCTGGTCCTTCAGACTGCCAGCAACTGACAGGGAAGGGAGGGAGGTCCCCAAAGAGAACAAGTCTTTGCTCCAGGCTAGAGTGCCATCCACCCAGAGCTGAATCAAGAAATCACCTAACCTGGTACTGGTTCTTAATACCTCCCCTCCCCCCCAACCTTTCCTAATGAAAAATCCTTGATTTTAGAACTTGCAAACAGAAAAAAAGAAAACAAATACAGAGACCTAGAATGGAACTTCAGTTGATGTACCCTCTGCTGATCTTAGTTCCCAGCACAAAGGGAACAAAGACTCCAGGCTTCAATGGCACTGAATGCCCACACCCCACTGGCATTCAGCAAGGCTCTGGCTAGACACACACATGGCTGGAAGACCAATCATATGGTTCAGGCCGGGGAAACAGGGTACTGGCTCCTAAGTTACTGATTGTCCTTCTCCATGAGCCAGCCCCGGCTGCTGCCCTTCCCAAGGCTGACAGCAGGACTGAGCCACCACCATGTCCTGGAGGAGACAGCAAGCTGTGAGAAAGCCACAGAGCAGGTGGTTTCAATACCCCCCGGCATGCCCTCTCTGCTGTCTGGACTAACCTGCACACCTTCTCTTGAGGCCTTGTGCTATGCCCACTGTGCTTGCGGGAGGTGGGAGGCATTGAAGCAGGGGAGGCCCAGTGCTCAAGGCAACACTCCCATAGTGCATAGTGCAGGATTTCAGGAGGGATAACCCCAAGGCATGTTCTCATTCACCCCAGGTCTCCCCGCCACCCCCAGTGTTTAGGCCTCATTAACATCCTCCCCCCCCCCCCGCCCCCATCTGGCTGCTGGGATGGCTCACGCCACATGTCTCCCTGGCTGGACCATAGTATCCAGATATTTGGCCAGGCACCAACCTAGATGTCACTGAGGAGGAATTTTTCAGATGACATTTATTTATTTTTGTTTGTTTCAAGAGGCAGAGGGAGAGTTCCCATCCTCTGGATCACTTCCACATGTCTGGAATAGCCAGATCAGGTCACAGCCAGGAGCTGGAACTCCAGCAAAGTGAGTACCAAGAACCCAAGGCACTTGAACCATCAGTGCCAGGAACATGGCACTAAGGAAGTGCTATGAGGGCCCAGCATGGTAACCCAGCAGCTAAAGTCCTCGCCTTACATGTACCAGAATCTCACTTGGGCACCGGTTCTAATCCCGGCAGCTCCACTTCCCATCCAGCTCCCTGCTTGTGGCCTGGGAAAGCAGTTGAGGATGGCCCAAAGCCTTGGGACCCTGAACCCACATGGGAGACCCAGAAGAAGTTCCAGGCTCCTGGCTTTAGATGGGCGCAGCTCTAGCCATTGAGGCCACCTGGGGAGTGAATCATTGTACAGAAGATCTCTCCTCTCTGTCTTTTCTCTATATCTGACTTTGCAATTAAATTTTTTTTTAAAATGTTAAAAAAAATTGCAATGAGAAGCTGAGCTGAGACTCAAACCTGGGCACCCGCATGGGGAAAGAGAGCATCCCATCTGGCATGTAAACCACTAGGCCAAATGTTCTCCCCAAGATCAAAACCCCCATCAGTCACCTGCATAAAGCAGATGACCTCTTAGTGACAAGCATGGGACTCATCTTAAATGGAGACGGCCTTTAGAGACAAAACAAAAGGCAAGGATTCCCCAAAAGGAAGGAAGACAGCTGGTAGACAGCCTTTGAGCCACAACAGACACCACAGAGCAGCCTGCTCCGTGGGTCTTAGCAACGAGAAAACAACCAATTTGACCCTACCCCCTCCTGTCCACCAACAAAATCTTGACCACTACTGCTTGCCATCACCTCACTGTCTCAGCAAGTGCTTCCTGGATTCACCCATGAACCCTGGACCTGAGGATCCTTCACTCCTGCTGTGTTTGAGAGAATGCAAATCCACTAAGTACAGTGCATCACGCATCATGCACCAGCTTCCAGCTTGTGTCTCAGTTGCTCCACTTCCCGTCCAGCTACCTGCTAATGCCCTGGGAAGGCAGCAGAGAATGGCCCAGATTTTCAGGACCCAGAAAAAGCTCCTGGTTTCAGATCAGCTCAGTTTGGACAGTTTCAAGTCATTAGGGGAGTGAACGAGCAGATGGAAGCACTTTCTCTTTCTGTCTCTCCTCTCTGTAAAATCTGCCTTTCAAATAAAAATTAAAAAGTGCATTAATTAAGAGGAGTGGATTGTGTCCTGCACGTGTGCCTAGCACTGGGCTAGGTGCTATGACAAACACCAGCTCCAGTCCCCCCGACTCCCATTTCACAGCAGAATTAGACTCTTGCCTCCCTCCTGTGACCCAAGATCGCGGCACCATCACTCATATTCCCAGGACCTGCAGGCCGTGTGCCGATACATCACCTGTCTTGTTTTTCTAGCCCATGTGAGCCCATGATCAGAGACAGCTCAGCAAGCATCATTAGTAAGGAAGCAGTTCATCTCTTCAATTGCCCACTTAGTGCTTCCACTTGATTGCGAATTTACTTTAACGTTTCCAATGACTCAAAAACTAGTCAGCTTTGTATCACACTCTTCTAGGAGAAAGCAAGGCCAGCAAGGACAAAGTCCGCCTGAGCGAGGCATGTCCCAGATTGTGGAGTGGCCGGAAGAGACACACAACATTCTCAAGCGCTTTAAACAGCACCCGCCCCAAAAGTGTGCTGGAAAAGCCAGCGCCTAGGAACAGAGGGGGGTGTCAGCCAAGCAGCCAATCGACTCGCTCGCTTGGGCAGCCCAGCCCCACTCTCGGGAGCGTGGATATGTCTGGCCCCTAATGCAAGCCAGCAGGGCCAGCCCTTGTCCCATCCCCACAGGGTGCTGGTTCTGATTACAGCCTGCTCAGATGGCACGTTGCACATCTTCAGGTTTCGGCTGCTGGCAGCCATGTCCACGCCATGTTGAATGATGTCATGTTGATGGAAAAGCTGAGTGGCCTCAGTGATGCTGTCAGCCATCCCCTCTCCCTGGCCCCCGCTGGCTCCCCAGAGCCCCCACTCCAGCCTGAGTCAGGAGGAAGGCAAGCAGTTTCACAGCAGCGCTGGCTCTGGTCTCTCCCAGAGCACTGATTCATCCCCATTCTCCAACAAGATTTCAGCTCGGAAACGCAACAAATTCTCTCCTTCCAGAGTTACTCTATTCTCCCCAGGGAACAAGGGAAACAGGGACCATTCCCACTTCCCCAGCTGTCCTAAGGCTTCTGTCACTCCTTAAGGCAAAGGGTGCTTAGGGGTTACCTGCCCCACTCCTCACACAGCAGGAATCTGCCCAACTGTCTGATCACCAAGCTTCCCAAGAGAACTGAAGAAGCTCAGAGAATGTTCTGCATGCAAACACCTCTCTCCACACAAATGCACCCTAAGGGCCAGAGGAAGGACATGCCTGCTTTCAACACTACTTCTGCTCTGAGCACGGGTGACCTCAGCACCACCTCTCAGTACCTAGGCTCCACTGTGCCAGGTGTGGGATGGGAGGGTTGGGCAGCTGTCTCTTAAGGTTCACAACTCCGCCAGTCTGCCTGAGCTCCACAGAAACACAGGGACATCAACTCAGAGCACAAAATGCCATCGCTTTGGGTTCAGCCCCTCTTGGCTGTTGTTTAGCATTCTGGACAGAGTCCAGACTGGCCAGTCCTATTGCCAGCAGGTACAGGCTTCAGCCTGGCCAGTGAGCATGCCCAGTAAGAAATGCTCAGGTGAAGGCAAGGATCAGAGCCCTCCACTCACATCAGCAAGAAGGTTGCTAGGGGCCAGAGATTGCTCCCCAGTCCAAGATCAAAGAAGGATCCCCTTCGGGACGGGCAGCACTCTTGCACTGTGATGAAGAGCACGAGAAGCCTGCTCTTGGAGGAGGCCCCATTAACGTGAGCAGTGAGCGCATGTTCACATCCCAGTGCTGAGCTCGGCATCAACAGCACCAGCAGGGAGGGAGGCTTAGCACATGATTCCAGGAGCCAGCCACACAGTCTCCCTGCTCCATGAGGATGAGGCCTGTCCCATCCCCAACTCTGCACCCGGGGCTGAGCCCATGTCTGGCACTTAGCAGATGATTCCTTACTCTGCTGGCTAGCCAGGGCAAGGAGTTACTACTCAGAGTTACTCCCCAGGACTGGCCACCTGGAGTGCTGCAAAACCTACCCTTCTCCACCTGCTGTGGTGCTAGGGATGGGATCCCTACAAATCTTGTTTCTGTGTTGCCAGGGGGCGTCCTACAAGGGTGTGCCAAAATGGAGAGTCTGGGACCACTAGGGCCTGTGCATTCCGGCCTGCTCCCTGTCCCTGTCAGCCAGCTCAACAGCTGTTAAGTCCATGCTTCCATCTCTGATCCCACCTACATCCCACAGTCAGCCCACTGCACCCCATCAATGGACCAGTAATCCATCCATGCTAGGCAGATTAGGTTCCAGCTCCATGAGTCCCTTCTCCAAACCTTCAGGTTCTGATACCCCCCATTAAAGTGCTAACCCTGAGTACAACCCTGCCCAGGGTTATATAGGGACCTGTTACAACACCACTGAGTCTGATTCAGATAGAATTCACACTTCCAACGAGGCATGTTGATGATGCAGCTGGTGGGAGCTCACACTTGGACACTGACCTGTACATGCCGAGAGCTAGCACTGGCTCCTGCCATCACCACAGGTCTCCCCATGACTTGTTGAACCCATTCCCAACATTCAAACCTGTTGGTCAAAGTAACTGGTACAATCTGTTTTAAAGCAGGTTCACGGCCCACAGAACCTCCATCTAGAAGGCATCAGAGCCACTCCTTTAGCTATGCCTGCCCCCTAGCCTTGAAAAGCCCCAGAGAGCAGTGGCAGCTGCAGTTTCCCAAGGCTAAGACCACAGGAAACCAGTAGCCCTTCTCTATACCCATGCGCGACCCCCATGGGATCCCACTGCAGAGCGCCAGAAACCAAATAGACAAGATAGCTATGTGAGCAGTTCCTGGCTCCCAGAGCCGTTCTCAGGAGAGCAGGCCATGTGGAAACACCACCTGAGAGGGCAAAGGGAGGTTCAATGTCTCTCAGAAGCCACCAGGCAGGGGAAGGACCAGGAACTCAAACGGAGGATGGGCTCATAGCAGACTGGTCACCGCACTACACTGGACACCTGGCAGGCCATCCTGCCTATGGGTCATCCAGCTGCCCGATTCCTCCCTTACATCCCAGGGGCCACGGCTTGGCCTAGACCTTCACCATTATTCTGCCTGGTGGTCGGGTGGAAGCCACGGAGGAAGGACGGTGCAGGAAGAGCAGCAGGAGGCAGCTGCACCTTCTCCTCCTCTGAGTCAGGAGCCCAAGGAGCAGGCTTGCTCCATGCTTGCTCAAGTGTGGATGCCCCTGTCACTGTGGCTGCCGCCTCACTTCCTTCGGCTCTACAGGATCCTGTATCCACTGCTTCAGGACCCAAGCAGGAGTAGTTCCATGATGGCAAGCTGGTGTCACTATGCCCCGTGCAGCTCCGTCACAGGAGCGTACCACCTGGCTACCAACTCCTTGCCTGTATTACCATTGTTAAGGATTTACATACTGACAGAATTAAAGATACAGAGAGAGAGAGAGATAAAAAGAGAAATTTTCCCATGTACTGATCTACTTCCCAAATGTCCAGAACAGCCAATGCTGGGCTAGGCTAAACCCAGGAACAGAAGCTCCTGGTTTCCCAAGCACTTGGACCATCCTCCGCTGCTTGTCCCAGGCACATTAGCAGGGAGCTGCGCTGGAAATCCAGAAGCCAGGACTCTAAGTGACACCCAGATGGGATGCCAGTGCTGTGAGTGGCGGCTTTAACTGCTGTGCCACAATGTGAATCCCATTATCGCTTTATTCGTGTTCTAGAACAGTTCTGTATCTGTTGATGTACACTGACACTTAAATCTTTAACTCAACCATTCTTTAACTCTCTGTGGTCCTATTGCAGCATGAGCTCTGATTTAAATGACAGATCATGTTATCAGTGGGGGAAGGGTTCCAAGACATCAGAAAGCTTTTCCCTCAAGACTATGCCTTCTGAAAGAGCTGGGAAGGTGGTAAAGAATACCTGTTGGCAGTGGGCACTGTGGTGCAGGAAGCTGAGCCACAGCTGGGATGCACACAGCCCATACCAGAGTGCTGGTGTTTGAGTCCTGGCCCCTCCGCTTGTGGTTAGGCTTCTGCTACTGCATGCTGAGTACACGGCCCACGTACTCAGACCCCTGCCATGCAGCTCAAAGACCCAGATGAAGTTCTGGGGCTACTGGCTTTAGCCTGTCCCAGCCCTGTCTGTCATACACATTTCAGGAGTGAACCAACAGATAGGAGATCTGGCTCTGGACTAATCTGCCTTTCAAATAGATTAAAATAAGCCCATTTTTAAACATCCACAAGCTTTAATTAAAAAACCAAAGTTCTTGGAAAGCAAAACTGTCATCTGATTAGAATTCAATCCCTGGCTTCTCGAACAACTTTTTCTCTCTGGACTACACACAAAAATTTTGTTAATCCGCCCTCACTAACCAGCTCCCAAGTTTATCATGCGGTTACCTTCCCTGTTGAAACTTTTAAGCTCTTTTTAAAAGAAAATAAAAGCTATATAAATAAGTCTGAGATTTAACAGCTGAGTTTATTCAACCCACTTGAAGATCAAGGTAAGCAGCCAGCAAGCCAGCTGAGAAGGATTATTGTGTCATTAAATAAGGCAGTACATTCAAGAAGCAAGGGTGAGGTGGACCAGCGAGTGCAGAACCAGGTCGTGGCTGTATGTCTGGGCCCGTGTGCACAGGTGGACATGCCATTCCAAAGCCCCACAGCACATGACTCCCACAGGGATCCTGCTGCTGTGCCCATGCTGGCCGAGTGGGCCAGACTGGAGCCTAAAATCGACATTTCTACCAAAATTCCAGGAGACACTGATTGGGCAAGTTGGAGACCAATACCTGGAGTTATGTGTGACAGCAGCACAAGGACCCAGATTTCCATGGGTGGTGCTGTGTGTTTACCAGGAATTTTACCTTCTGGCATGCAGGCAGCTTTTAAAGTAAAAGCAAAGCTCCACTGATGTGCCTGACACTTGGGATCGATTTCCTTCAACACTGACCCACACTTGGGTTGGCTCTCCGGAGCTGGGCTTGCTGGGTGGACCTCCCCAGTCAGAGCCATGCAGGCGAAGACGACCACCATCAGGGGTCAAAATCCTGCCTCTTTGGATTCCAAGAGCTGCCAAAGTACCCTCCCCTCCCCCTGCCAATTTTCTGAAAACCAACACCTTAATACAACTCAGCTTCATCCTCGGCCTCCAACACTCTGCCATCTAGCCGCCTGATGCCAAAACCTCCAGGTCCCACCTGCCAGGCTCCAGCTGCACCTCTGAACCAGGTCCCCTAGGCCGCCCCCAACAGAAGAGCTGCCACCTCAGAAGCAAAGAGATCCAGTCGCCAAGACGGACCTTCCAAGACACCCATGCGCTGCCCATAACCCCAAAAGCCCATGCACACACGCACAGGTGGGACCCCTGAGCCCCAACCGGGGTGGGAGAGGTACAAAAAGAGACTGGGGATGGGGTCTTTACCTATGTCTCCCGGGACGTGCTTGCCGTGGAAGCAGAAGCAGGCGGTAACATTCAGGCAGTTCACAGGTTGCTGCCCATCATGACATTGGGGCGCAGTGATGTTGATGGAACTTGGGAGGAAGATGGAGACATCCACGGTGATCACGGGTCTCGCCCTGCAAGGGGAAGGGACAGTGAGTTAGCCGAACCCACCGGGCACTGTCCAGATGGATGGGGCAGCCCTGGGCTTGCAGCCAGCACCTCATTAGAGCACAGCAGTGCCTGGGGGAGAGGCCCAGGTGCCTCACGAGGGTTTTCTGGCTGCAGGAAGTGCGCCCTTCCTCACAAGCTCATGGTTAGCTTCCCAGTCCTAAGGGTGAGTTAATAATTGCTAATAAAGCACATCTGGTGGAAGCCCTGAGCGTGCCACCAGATGCCGGGTGATTATTCAAAATTTCACCAATTAACTTCCAATTTCCATTTTACTAAGGGGACATGGATACACTTAAGAGAACTTACTGTAGCATACACAAGGATTTGAGAACAAGATGCAAACTCAGGGTCCAACGCCCGCCTCACCCCACCCCCTTCCCCCTAAAGCGTTAACAGCTGCCATGCAAGGCTCCAGCCCCATCCAGTGGCTCAAACCCTGCCCCCTCAACTTTGTTTGCGTCCTTTAGTTCATGAAGGCTTTTTTTTTCCTCCAAGAACTTGAGGCATGGAGTCCCAGCACACAGCAGCCAAGTTCTTCAGAGCACAGGCAGCGGAACTCTCCTGGCCCCATGCACCAAGTGAAACCCCACACATACCCATACCCCTCTCGTTGGGGCAGGGAGGGCAGCCAGCATGCGTGGGTGCCCTCACATGTGAGAGAATGACACCTGAGGGCAAATCCCACCTCTGGCCGTCACTCAGGGAAGCTCCACCTAAGCTGTGATTTGACACTTGACACAGTGGCCCTAAAGAGCCCCAGCCATCATGCCACCAAGTGATATCTCAAGGTTCAGGGGGGCATCTATGGTCTTAGAACAGTTGGACTTGCTCGTGTACAGTGGCCACCCATCCCCACTGCCCACCAAGAGCAGCATCCAGGATGACCAAGAGACGGCAAGCACGAAAACCCAATGGCTCAGGCCCGGCGCGGTGGCGCAAGTGGTTAAGGTCCTTGCCTTGCATGCCCGGGATCCTCGCCTTCCACGCCCGGGTTCTATCCCGGCAGCCCCGCTTCCCTTCCAGCTCCCTGCCTGTGGCCCGGGAAAGCAGCAGAGGACCGCCCAAAGCCTTGGGACCCTGCACCCGCGTGGGAGACCTGGAAGAGGCTCCTGGCTTCAGATCGGCATAGCATCGGCCGTTGCGCTCACTTGGGGAGTGAATCATCGGACGGAAGATCTTCCTCTCTAGCTCTCCTCTCTGTATATCCGCCTTTCCAATTAAAAAAAAAAAACCCAATGGCTCAACACCTGCTGGGAGTGTGGTTAGCAGATGGCCAGCTGTGACCAGGGTGGCAGGAGCCGACCAGACCCCGAGGCATCTCTCACAGTCTCCTCACTCAAGCAGGGATTCCCTTCCAGAACTCTCTGAGATCTCCTAACACTCTCCTCACGGGACTTTATGCCTGTTCTGTGACGTCACCACCTGCCCAGCTCCAAGCCTCCACTGGAGCCTGGGGATCTCCCACCCACCACAATACGCCCTTGCTGCACATCCTTCCCATGGAGGGGAAACCACCTAAGAGGAGAGGAATCAACAAGCCAGGGACAATCAAGCACAAGAAGGCTGAGACAGCCAGCCTTGCAAGGTGCTGGCAGCCAAGTCCCGCAAGGTTTGTCTCATCCATCTGGAAGAAGGTAAGGAGTTTGACACTGCTCACTGCTTGGGGAGCTGAGGCACAAAGGAAAGCCACAGTGCCACCTTGCAGAGTCCAGTGGGAGCTGCTGGTCTCATAGTCCTGAGTCACTGGGGGACCCCCCAGGAGAAGAACCATCAACCCAAAAGAGTGAGGGTGAAGGTAAGGAAGAAAGCTCAAGTGCAACAAAAGGAACCAGGCAAGTTTTAACTTGCAGCTGTCTCCCTGGGGAGACCCAGCTGTGACCTGCAGGCTGTGTTCGAGATACAAGGACAGAAGGGGGAAGAATTATAGGGATGCAGACTTAAAACCCAATTTATATCACTAAACCAAACAAAGCATTTCACAGATCCTTGTTCTTAGAGGAATCAACAGAGATAAGTACAAGAGCTTTTTCTGAAAGTTCAAGCACAATGGAATTAAAACATAAGTTACTGGTCTAGTACAATGGCTCAACTGGATACTCTGCTCCTGTAAGGGCCAACATCACGTTTGGGTACCAGTGTGCGTCCAGGTTGCTCCATTTCCAACCCAGCTCCCTGGCTCATGGCCTAGGAAAGCAGCAGGGCATGACCCAAAGCCTTGGGACCCTGCACTCCCATGGGAAATTCCGAGGGGTTCCTGTCTTCTGGCTTTGGATCAGCTCATCTCTGGCACTGTGGCCATTTGGGGAACGAACCAGTGGATGGAAAATCTCTCTGTGTCCCTGTGAAATATGTCTGGATTCCAATAAAAATAAAATCTTGAAAAAAAAAGATGAATTTATTCAAGTGCAAGAAACAAAAATCCACACATACAGGGGCTATTCAAAGTGCATATTCTAAGAAAAATACGCATGGGTTTCAAAAATGCTTGTACCAAAAGACACTAACCTTTGAATTCTACTTCTCCATTATGCTCTGAAGTCCCTTATCATGTTTTAACAAAGGAGAATCCTGGAGCAGAAAGGTGGTGGGACATGCCCAGGAAACTCACTCAGCAAGGGTGGAGTTGGGGGGTTTTGAACTCAGCACCCTCCTCTGTCCACCTTCACAATCAACCTCAGGGCTCCTTCGCCTAGAGGCTTAGTTGGGGGGAGCTTCCACTAAAGCTTCCTGAAGCCCTGAGCCAGGCGGCCTCAGGGCGGTCCCCTCGGAGAAGAGGCTGGGTGGCCCCAAGTCAGGGCTCAGATGGCCCAGCTAAATGGGAGCAATGTGCAGTGTGGCTTGCACAGCCTCTGGGACCCCTTCCAGCTCTCAGATCCTCCGGGTCTATTTCAGAAAGTTCTGCCATCAGAGGTTATTAACAAATCCAAGGGTTGGCTCCCATTCCAGATGTAACTCTGCCTGCCTGCCGTGACTCATCCAGCAGAAATACTCAGACACGCTTCACGCACAGCAGGTCACTGGCCTTGGGAAAGGGATGCAGCCTGCACGGGCTTTGTGGAGCACTGCATCTGAATCTGAGCTCATGGTCCCTAAGGGGGGCGGAGGACTGAGTAGAGGTGAGGACCCCTCTCGCACAGAGATGGGAGGACGGCACAGGCAGTGCCTGCCAGCCCTAGCAGCCTCACTGCGCCCGCAGGAGATGTAAGTTTGCAGAGAACACTCACCCAGGTCTTTAGGGCTTAGGGCTGAGGTCGTCCCAAACCTTGTTGAGAAGCCAGGGATGCCATCACCCTTAAAAGCCCAGCAGGAAACACTGAGACAGACGGCAAGAAGCATGGGCGCAAGGGCTCTGTCAGCAAGGATCAGGGTGGACGCACAGCTGGCCAACGCACCTGTGCCTCCCCCACCCAAACCTACCCCTTCCCTCACGGAGGATGCAAGGTGTGAGTCTCACCTTAGCAGGACCACGCTGTCTGACAGGAAGGCTCCAATGGTGACATCTGAAACAACAAGTACACAGTGCTCATAAACTTATGGGAGGCTCTGCCTGGACACTTGGCCTTGAAGTTGGAGAGGCCTCTGGCACCCACGGTCAGGGCACCAGATACAGTGAGTTACACAGGAGGTCTTTATTTTCCAAAAGGAAAATGGCAGCACCAAGAAGCAGGAGTCGGGGGTGGGTGGGATGGGAGGGAGCAGCTTTTATAGCATAATGGTGGGTACTTTGGGAGTACAGGGTCACAGGGATTGGTACACAAGGGTGGGGTAGGGGACCAGGGCTACGGGGCTGTAAGGGCTTGATGGACAGGGCTGTCAGGGAACAAAATAGTGTGTGGAACTAAAGAGCCTCAGACTTACAGGAGTGAAACTGAAACCGAAACAGAAGGAAAACTGAAACTTACTGGAACTGAAGCCTGGGGGAAAGCAACTATTTAAAGCGGCCGAGGGTCTAAAATGGCGGGGGCTTCATCAGTCTTCAGGGCTGATGCTCAAGCCACTTGTCACAAGGGTCATGTAGTGATTGTGCAAGTATCAGAGCCACAGCATCCCTCCCTAAGGCAGCCACTGACCACATGTGGCTACTCGGCACCAGGGTGTGCTCCAAGTACAAAAGACACACCAGCATTCAAGGACCTAGAAAAACCATGAACTCTCTCTTGTTGAAATGATAACGTGATTAAAACGAAGCCTAGGTGTTTCTTTTTACCCATCTTATGCAGTTATCAGAATATTTTCAGTTATATAGGTGGTTCCCCTTACAACATGTTTGCACAACAGTGAGCTGCAGACGGGGATCTCTAGGGTCCAATAACTCTTGGGGAATGCCTTAATGTCACCCAGCATGGGATGCATCCTCCACATTCCCATGCTATACCACCTTAGTCTCACAGAGCATCCTCTGTAAAATGAGAATCATTGTCCACAGTACCTTCTTCAAGAGTGGCCAAGGGGGGCCAAGCATGGTGGCACAGTGGCTTACTGTGCTGCTTGCAACAGTATCTTGTTACCACAGCACTGCAGTTCCAGCTGCTCTACTTCTGACCCACCTTCCCACCAGAGTGCATGGGGAGGCAGAAGATGATAGGCCAAGTACTCGGATCCCTGTGACCCATGTGAGAATATGGCACAGACGCACTTTCCAGGCACCCAGCTTTGGCCTGGCCCAGTCCTAGCCATTGCAGCCATTTGGGGAATAAACTAGCAGGTGGCTAATTTCTGTCTCTCTTTCTCTGTCACTCTGCCTTTAAAATAAAATCAAACAATTCAACAAGAAGGAAAAGCTGCCAGTGTTTTCTGATATCAGTGAGTTAAACATAATAAATGTTAAGTACTCAAGCACTTTTAATATGCTAAACCAAATATTCAAGTCAGACATTCATGATAAAACTTGCTAAACAGCAGACTAAGGCTCCGGTTTAGCTGGCAACGTTTACTCCTAAATAATGGAGGAAGGATCCACTCACACTAGAGTGCTCTGCCTTCCTAACCTCAGGGTCCCATTACCACTGCCCAGAGCAAGCACATGGCTTAGGAGCATCTGCTGTTACCTATGAGCAACTGAGAGCATCCACACCAGGCTCTTACTCAGACAGAGCACCTGTCATCTTTGCACAGAGGTGTGTGGCTTCACTTGCTTCATCTTCATTGGTCTTCTTCAATTGTCCAGATGCCAATTTGTCATGGTGACATGTGAACACAGCAGGCACGAAGCATTTACAGAGAAGCAGCTGAACTGCTAGGCAGCCAGGATTCCACTCCTCCAGGAGAGGCAGTGGCCAGTTTTTTATCCTCCCTGAAGCTCCGCCCCCTTGTCCTAAGGTGTGGTGTATGTGTCTAGAGGGGCACTCCCACCCCTACCTTTAGCAGTACCTGGGAGACTGACATGGCAGGTCAAAGTATTTTGCATTCTTCAAGTGCATTCATGGTAGTTGTCCCAGACTGCCCAGAACAAAAAGAACTGCTTTTGCAGGCTCGAAAAGACCCCTGAGGGTCTATCAAACCTTCTACTGCAACCTGTTCTCCACCCATTACCCCTCCTCCTCTTGATGGACGTTCAAAACTCTTGTGTGTACAGAGTGGCAAAATCTGGTGGCCCCATACAAGGATGACATTGGCCTTCCCAGATATCAACTGGAGAGAGACATATGTCCTCAAAAGAAAAATAACCAGACAGACATGCAAGCGTTTTCTGAATTCCAAGACAATTTTGTACTTTTTTAAAAAATTCTTTACTTCCTGACCTCCTTCCCTTCCATCTTCAAAGTACTAACAATGTGCTGTCTACCAAACTGGCCCTAATCAGTTGGTATCACTCAGAGTGGGAGCCTGGAGTTGCACATTTGATTCAGTTAGCCTCAGTGACACAGGCATTAATTAGGCCTGAAGCTCAGCCAGGCAGTCCGCAGTGGCGAGGGTCTTTGTCAGTAAGAAAACGTGGCTTTCTTCTCTCTCCTTCTTTCACTCAACCATTTGCTTCCAGGCAGGGTGCTGCCCCGTCCCCTGTCCAGGGTGAAGGCTCAATGTCAAGCAAAGCTCTAGGCATTACTCCTGACATTTTAAATGTGGATAGCAACTTTTCTCCTTTACTAGAAACAACTGTTCCTACAGAAATTATTATTAAAAACTTTTTCTGGTGATAAAACCCCATGAGAAAAGTTAATTCTAAAAGCACAAGTTAGGGGACAGTGTGGCAGTACAGTGTATTAAGCCACTGTTTGCTGTGCCCACATCCCATATTACAGCACTGGTTTGAGTCCTGGACGCTTGCTTCTGATCCAGATCCTACCACTGCACCTGAAAAAGATGCAAAGCATGGCCCAAGTACTTGGGACCCTGCCAACCATGACAGACTCATATTGAGTTCCTGGTTTCATCCTAGCCCAATACAAACTATTTGGGGAGTGAAATAGCAGGTGTTAGATTTCTCTCTTTCTTTATCCCTATTTATGCCACTCTTTTTTTTTAAGATTTATTTTTATTGGAAAGACAGATTTACAGAGAGAAGGAGAGACAAAGATCTTCCATCTACTGGTAGACTCCCCCAAGTGATTGCAATGGCCAAAGCTGAGAAATCTGAGGCCAGGAAGCAAGGAGCGTGGTCTGTGTCTCCAACACAGGTGCAGGATCCCAAGGCTTTGGGCCATCCTCTACTGCCCTCCCAGGCCCTAAGCAGGGAGCTGGATGGGAAGTAGAGGAATTCAGACACAAACCGGCACCCACATGGGATCCCGGTGTTGGCAAGGCTGGGAATTAGCCATTTAGCCATTGTGCCAGGCCCCACTTTAATTTTAAAATAAATAAACCTTTTTCAAAAGATTCACCTAAAAGTTTTTGAAAGAGAAAATCTCACATAAATGTCTATATCATTTCAGATATTGCATTCCCCCATTTGGTGCTGTGAACCGTCTAAATGCTAAGATGACTGCTAAGCAGGCTGGAAGTTACACTACCCCCGTCTTATCTGTGCTTATCGAATGTTCCGTTAGAGGAAGGCAACTCACCAGGGTAGCCGTTCCCATCCATATCAACGCCTCCTGATATGGACTGGCCAAACATCCGCAGAACTGGACTGATCTTCCGTCCAGACAGTTTCTGAAACAGATGATGGGGAAGTGGAGTCACTGGAATGGACCACAGGCATAAACAAGGGGGACAAGTGACACATAACTTGACCAGGGGTTCCCGAGAAAGCACTGGAAGGCCACACACTCCTTTAGGATGGCTTGCTTCAGCCAGGTGTCAGCATTTAAAAAATTTTTTTTTCTAAGACCAAGGTCAATAGAAAAGCACCAAGACCAGGGTGATCACGTTTGGGAAGTTGAAGTTCAAAACTGATAAAGTCCATTTCTCACAGAGGTTCTGCTTTCTTGAGATGCCGGTAAGGCTGGCTGGAATTCTACTGACCTCTCTACCCTGTTCCATATAATGCACTGGGCTTCCGAGACAAGAGGAGACTTGTTTTGTCAAATCATTCTGTGGTCTGGAAGCTTCTAGAAACTGACAGAACTCTCCCAGAACCATCCAAAGCCTCCTTCCTCAGTCAGGCAGAGCCCAGGGCCCCAGCAGGCTGTAGCACCTGCTGGGGGAGTTCTGACTGTTCATGCAGCATCAAGTTGATTGCATGTGTAGACACGGAGAGAGTGATTCAGGAACATCTGGGCTCTAACCAGCCTTGGTCACAGTAAACGTAGCCATGACCCTTTGGGCCATGTGAGTCCTCATAGGGACCATGAATTCCTAAGCCAGACCAGTGCCAGCCTCTGGAGCCCACATGAGCCCCTTTCCCCATACGGACTGCCTCCTCATGGATGCCTAGCAGAATGAGACGTCTGACTCTCATAGCAAAATCTGCGTGCCCAAAGCAGCTGCCAGGGGACCACAGGGATCTGCCTTCCCTCTCATTTTCCTTATAGAGTCATCCTGCAGGGAAGTCAGGAGCACCCCGTGGGGGTAGGGCCATTTCCATAGGATCCACAGAGGGAGACTCCAGGGACGCCTCTGCTCCAGCCATCCCAAGGACAGAGCATTTGCTCCAGCAGACACGGAAGAATCGCTTCCTGTTCACACAGCGGAGCCACACCATCTACGCAGCTCTGTCTAAACAAATGCAGAACGCGCCTGTGCGTTTTCCAAAAAAAAAAAAAACCTCGTGGGGAGTGCAGGCATACCCAGAGCAGCCCGTCCCGGCTTTGCATTTCTCGAAGGCAGGCTGCGGCTGAGACAGGGCAGGCAGCAGGAGAGAACGGGTGGTCTTCTGGGGGGCTGGGGGTGGGGAGCAAAGCCGGCTTACGCTATCCCACAGACATCTGCAGGCCATTACACGGCAAAGCCAGGAAGATAAGTCCGCTCCGCGCTAATAACCCTAAATGAAAGCCAGGAGTGCCGGAGACCCTCCGCTGGACTGGGTTTACGAGCAGCCAACAGGATCAGAGGGGCCGCCAGCCCTGTGCCCGCAGTGCGCTCACGAGGGAGAAGGCTGGCCAGGATGGGAGCAGCGATGGAGGAAGGAGTTAAACAATCACGTGCAAGCCCTCGGGCCCCAGAGCTCATGGCATAGCCAGCAGAAATAACAAAGAACAGGGCCAAAGAAAAGCCATGCCGCTGGCCACAGCCATCTCTTTCCCCTGCTCTGCACACACAATGCCCGCTCTTGTCCGGGACCTGGGCCCGGAAGAATCCGTCGTTAGAGGATTTGGGGTTTTTTTTTTTCCTCCCCCCTTTAAAAATCACTGACCTTCTCATACATATATCAGCAGCTTAGAAAAGTATAATCATAGCTGTTTCTGGCTTTTTTTTTTTTTAAGAGCCCCAAACCACTTCTCCTTGTGGAGCCCTGGAGCCGGCGGCGGGCGGGCGTGCTGACAAAGGCAGGACAAGCCCAGCTGCCACGCCACCGCGCTTCCGAGTACAGACTGCAGCTAACCGCAAGCGTCCCCTGCGGCTCTGGGCAGGGGAACCCACCCAGCAACCAAACAAAACACTGTGGGGGCCCCTGGAGGGGAAGCAGGGGTCTCTCACATGTGGCCTCTCTGTGTGATTAGCTTCTAAGGTCCCTAACCAAGTTTCCAAGAGGATACTTGGGGAAAGACCCGTCCCTGCCCAAGGAGGGGCATAGGGGGTGGAGACCTGCTTGCAGTTTGTCATTGTCACACAGCTTCCTCCTGCCCAATCTAGCACAGACACTGTGACCCGGATGCAGCACCCCAACTGTCCAATTTCCTCCTGCTAGGCCTGCAGGCTCACCTAAGAGGTCACACTGTTCTACTAGGTGGGATACGCCCACCCTGCTAGCTGAATGAGTTTCCACATTTAGCTTCCTCTTCCAGCATGTAGCTAGAAGGAGGGTAGTGATTATAACTGAAAGAAGACCCGAGACTCAGCTAAGCAGTCTGAACAGCCATACTGCCACTGACCTTGCTGAGCCCAAGTCGCCTTGTAGACAAAAGGTAGATGACAAATGATCCCCATCCCACACGAGTGCCGTGAGCACTGGAGAGAAGGAAAGCACACGGCAGGCAGGCAGGCAGGCAGGCAGGCCCTGGTGCTCCTCTCCCCAGGCACCTGTCTCTTACAGGCCACAACCTGAGCCTCAGCTGATACCAAGAAGCCATGAACCCTCGACTTGTCCATCAGCATCTGCTGGGGCAAGAATGATTGCCCATGGGCCCACTGCACATGTGTCTATATATCACCTCTGCAACCTAGAATACAATCACACACACACACTCGCACGTGCAGGAAGTGCCTAGCACATACTAAGTGTTCTACAAATCCATGACTGCAGATCGGAAGTTTGGCTGCGTGGATGCTGCCCTTTCCTGTCACCGGCCCCCTGGGAGAGACGAGTGCCACTGTCACAGCACGCGCAAACATCCTGACACTGCTTCTCACTGACAGCATGACTTCCTTTTTTCCCAGGGGCTGGGCGGGACTCCATCAGCAAGATTGGAACAGCACGCTGATAAGGCAAAAAGTATAATTCTCCACTTCCACCTTCCCTCATCTAGGGGGCTCAGTCCAAGGCTCTGGGTAGCTCCTGGTTTCAATGCTGGTCCTGACAGCACCGTGATAACAGCAGCCTGTGACAGCCTTCAGGCCCCCCTTCCATGGACCATGGTCTTTCTAGATTATGTGGGACAATACCAGTCCCACATGTTTGACACAGGACTGACCCAAAGAGGAAAGCTGCCACTTCTGTTTCGACAGAAAGAGTTCTGCAGGGTGAGAACTGGCATATTATCTCGTGTAGGCACAAGGCATCTCTGAATGCAGAATCTTTTGCTGCAAGGCAGGCAGGCCGAAAGCAAGAACAATATTATGTCTTCCCAGTGCGTTCTGGACACGCTGCATCGTGCAGGATTCATGCCTGTCTGCTGAACAAATCATGAAGAAGCCCCATTGTGGTCCCGCCACTTACCATTGAGTACTGCGGGACTATCCCTCCAGCATCACCATGGTAGATGTAGACTGCACCTGCATAATCATCCTCCTTGGGTGCACCAATGGCCACATCTGGGGAGAGAAGCACCTCTGGTTAGAAGAGGCATGATGTAACCGTGTCTTCCCTACTTATGTCTGAGTCCCCCGATACCAGACAGTCCTGATTGTTGACGGCCAAAACATTACACTGAGACAACAACAACAACAAAATCATAGAACGTTACAAAAACTGCAAAGAGTTTACTCCATTCTCCTAGAACAAAAAATCCCCAAATCACCCAGTAAAAGAAGCACAAAGATAAATTATCGTCCCCTGATCTCAGTCAAGAGAGGGAAATTCCATGGACCACGGTTCTCACAGAAATGAGAAAGGCAACTCCACTTGCAGACGAAGGAAATGTTCAGAGGGCATTTGCTTGCCCCTACTCCCAAGTCGACATCACGCTCACCAACTGACAACTCTTGGAACAAAGCCTGGATCATTCCTTTCCCCTTGGCTTCTAACAAAATCCTGCATGTACAGGAGACCAAGAGTAAGCAGCAAATTTCTCTCTCTCTGTCTCTCTCTCTCTGTCTCAAGGCCTCTGTACCAGCTGGCAGAAGTCATCAGGCTGGGAAGAATTTGCCCATTTCAGCTCTAAGGATCTGCATCACAGGAGGAAAGAAGCTCACAGACCAAAGGAAGGGGAAAAGAAGTAGCAAAAACACTGCTATCCACAGACTGAATGTGACAGAGAGGGAGAAATAGAGAGAAAAAGTGTCTCATCCACTGGGTCACTCTCCAAATGGCTACAATGGCCAGGATGATGGGGAATTCCACGTGGGCCTTCCACGTGGCAGTCATGGCCCCCAAACACCGATGTACCTTGCACTGTCTTTCCCAGGCACATTAGCAGGAAGCTGAATCTGAACACTGATATGGGATGCCAGCACATCAAGACGTAGCTTAACACTCTGCAATATGACAACATCCAACAACTACAGAATACACACTCTTTTCAACCGTATATAGAACGTTCTCCAAGTAGGTCTCAAAACAAACCACAGTACATTCAAAGGAATGGAAATCACAACAACAAAATTTTTTTTTTCTGATCATTATATAAAAAGGCTAGAAATCAATAACAAGAAAAGACCTGGGAAACTACACAGGAGTTCAAGGAACTTGCCTGCAACGTAACAATCCAGTAAGAAAGAACAAAGATCACGGACATTTTTCACATTTTATAGACAACAGATGCATGAAAAGACAATCAGGGTCACCTAGCATCAGGAAAAACAACAACTCTGAGTTTCACCTCACCCAGTTAGAACGGCTTTTGTCCAAAAAAAAAATTTTTTTAATGAATACTAGAGAGTATGTAGAACAAAATATACCATAATACAGTGTTGGTAGGAATACAACCTGGGGCAAAGATTATGAATATTCCTTAGAAATGTGTGTGTGTGTGTGTGTGTGTGTGTGTGTGTGTGTGTGTGTGTGTATTTAATGGCAGTTAAAGAGAAAGCAGAATAAACAGAGACCTTTCTTGGAAAAAAAAATGACTTCCTTTTATTGGACAGGCAGATTTACAGATAAGAAGAGATAAAAGGATTTTCCATCTACTGGTTCACTCCCCAAACGGCCACAATGGGATGCTGGTTGATGTCCTGGCAGCTCCACGGCCCATCCAGCTCCCTGTTTATGGCATGAGAAAGCAATAGAGGATGGTCCAAAGCCTTGGAACCCTGTGCCCACGTGGCATCCCCAAAAGAAGCTCCTGGTTCCTGGCCCAGCAAACCCACTCCCAAGGCAGACACCATCCACCCATTGAAAAGATATCTGCCTCCCATGCTTACTGCAGCACCATGTACCACAGCAAATAACACCTAGTGTCCATCTCCTGGTGAATGGGAAAAGAAAATATAGGGGTGTACATACGTACACATACATACATGTGTGCCCATGTGTACATGTCAGTATGTTAGTCACAAAAAGGATGAAATCTTGTCACCTGCCACGACATGGAACTGGAGCTTATTACACATTGTAGAATAGATCAAGCACAGAAAGACACATACCGGGCCCGGCGCAGTGGCACAGTGGTTAAAGTCCTTGCCTTGCACGCCCAGGATCCCATATGGGTGCCGGTTCTAATCCTGGCGGCCCCACTTCCCATCCAACTCCCTGCCTGTGGCCCGGGAAAGCAGTCAAGGACAGCCCAAAGCTTTGGGACCCTGCACCCGAGTGGGAGACCCGGAAGAGGCTCCTGGCTTTGAATCGGCATAGCTCACTTGGGGACAGAATCATCGGATGGAAGATCTTCCTCTCTGTCTCTCCTCTCTGTATATCCGCCTTTCCAATAAAAATAAATCTTTAAAAAAAAAAAAAGACACATATCCTGGGATCTCACTCATTGATAGGGTCAGAAACAACACACTCTCATAGGATATAAAATCCTACTGATGACTCTGTAGTCAGGGGTGGTGGGAGGCGGGCAGTGCCAGGTTACACCCAGACAGAAGGCAGAAGCCCTGAGGTTGATGTGTATTTCTCTAATAAAACATTTCAGGAGATAGGTTGCTTGATGCTTTTATCATCAAATAAAAAAAAAAGTTAAGTGCTGGAAAGGGTAAGTACATTTACCCCGGTTGGATTATTATACAAGCTACAAATGTAACCAACCATCACATGGTACCCCATACATATGCAAACTGTTATCTATTAAAAATTGTGAATAACAAAATCTCATTTACTAAGTCTGCAAAATGTCAGAAGCAAAATGTCTCCTGCTGCCTCCCCGCTGAGGGAGCAGCATCCTACAGCATCAGAGACTGAGGAACCTGAATAGGAGGGGGAAGGTGGGACCAGCCCACCTGCACTGCCAGTCACATCAGAGAACGCTGAACTGAGGAGACAGGGCTTCCACAGGAGAGCAAGCCAGAGGACACGCAGCTCAGCCCTAAGAACCATCCTCTCCCCAGGACACACATGGGCATCAGGGTGAGCTGCAGACTGGGAACTAGTCAGGTGGAGAGACCTGGCTGTGACAGGGGCACTCAGCTGAACTTGGCGGGCCAGCTCACCTGGGAAGCCATCGTCATCCAGGTCACCTAAGCTGCTGATGCTCTCCCCAAAGTGTGCGTTGTAGGCGCTGTCCCCGGTCAGAGCCAGCTGCTCCTCCAAGGCTCCCTGGGAAACAGGATGGAAGGAAGAAAGAAAAACAAATGAACAAACCAAAAAATAACAATTAAAACCCGAGCTCTAACAATGCCTTCTGAGAGCACTCCCTCTGCCAGGAAACACCTGGATGGCGTCACAGGCACCCAAGCTTCCCTCTCCTGGTGGCCAACAACTCCTTCCACCTGAGTGGCAACGGTCAGTCCCCGGAGCCAGTGGTGCACCTTGGAAGGTGGCATGCTCACAGCGGCACGTGGGGACAGCTCCCCTTGTCCTGCCCACCCAGCTCTTCTGTCTCATCAGCCCCTCTGCTCTCCCAATGCCCTAGCAGGTTTGTCAAAGCTGTTCTAAAGGGGCACACATTCCTCTACTTTTTCTCTCCTCCACCTTATGATAAAAATTCATGAAGATGCTTTTGCAAGGCACATGATCAGTGGGTCTTCAAAAAACTCAAGCAAATGTGTACTGTTTTAAAACATGTTTGTATGGGTTTCAATTTTTGTTTACACCCAAATAAACTCATCTCTGAGCTCCATTTTTTCATGAACCTTCTAACACGCCCTTGTATTAGTCCCTTTGATAGAGTCGGTTCAAATCATTTCAGCCAGGGGTGGGGGTGGAGCCCCATCATGCCTGTCTTAGATCTGAATTTCCAGGGTAGACCTGAATTTCCAGGGCATAAGGTGACCAGAGAAGAAGTGGGAACACCCACTTTCTCCCCAGATCACCAACGAGTGAACACCAGAGCTGGCACGAAAATGCAAGGTGGTGCTTTGAAACAGAATGTCTGTGCCATCCCCAGGAGGGCCTGGCTTTGTTAGGACCAAGTCTTTCTCACCATAAATGCAGCTTGCAACTTGACTTGATGGTCCTTGGGTCAGGAAATCTCTCCCCTCTGAAACAAAAACGCTGTGGCCTCTGCACCTGAAGGGAGTTGCTTCTAGAACCCCCTGTGGGTATCAAAATTGCAGAGACTCAAGTCCCTTAGGCAAGATGCCGCAGGATGTGTATACAACCTAGACACAGTCTCCTGCATGCCTTTGGTCACCTCCAGGTGACGGATATTGCCTAACACAAGATACATGGCACATTAAGCCCCAGTGGCATTGGATGGCTTAAGGAAGACCAGTGAGTGTGCATGTTCAGAGCAGGTGCAATTTTTCTTTGAACATGTTCAATCCACAGATGTTTGAATCTATAAATGTGGCACCCATGCCTATGGACGTTTGACTGGAGACAAATTGGAGACAGTGACAGGGTAGAGAAGAGGGACCTGCAGCTGATACCTATGAGCAGGTGCTGCAGTGGCATCTCCTCATTTAAAATCCACCATGAGCCCACAGGGGGGCTGTCACAACTCTTCCCTCTTTCACCAATTTCTACTCATGTCAGACATGCTAGGAAAAGCCAAACTGATTGAAAGGGACTCCAGAGGCCCCTAGAAAGGGAAGTTAAATATAGAAAAGAGTGCCCGGAGGACAGAGCTGTTAGAAGGAACAGGTGGGATGGGGGCAGTGGAAGCTTCAGATGTTGCTGAGTCTAATGGAGCGGCTCAACTGAGCACTACGCATACTCCCATGCCAAACCGGCTACTCCAAAGTCGGTTCCCTCATCGGTTCATGGAGCATGTCTCACTTGCATACACTTTCAGGTCCCTGGTTGGCCCTGGTTATCCCTGCCTTCTTATTAGTTGCTATTCTGCCCCTTCCCTTAATTGGTTAAAACTGAACTTATTTTTCAGAAAGGGGCCAGTCAGAGGGAGCCATTGTATTTCTACAAGAGCCAGCACGGGCAAACTTCTTTGGCAACTCCTCCCTAGGTGTCCCCCTCCTGACTGCAGTGGAAGGAGGTTTCTCACTTTCAGTAAATCCTGTTTTGCTCCCTGTCTCTGCCCACGTGGAAATTCTTCACGATAAGAACCAAGAATGCTCTCATCAGCCCATGACACCAAGATTCAAACTCCTAACCAGCTCCCAAATTACCCTGATTTCCCATTCCTCTCCTCTGCCTTGCAATCATTGTTCAAACGGGCCAGGACTTCCCCATCCTTCAGGAAGCACTGAGCACTAAGACACGCTGGTCAGGAAAGCACAATGAGTAGGGGCTTTGTGCCCATGGAGGGGATCTGGGGAATTATGCTCACCAAGTCCACTCCTGACTCACACACTGTTCCGTCCAGCACCCATGCAAGCCTCCTGCAGACACTGAATGCCCACCCCTCTTGGCTACATGGTGACCTCATTCCTCCCGCTGTCATTCCCTACTCTCAGTTTCCTGAAATGTCAATTGGAGTGTATGTGCCATGAGTTACCACCACAGGAATAGAGTGTCTTCCCTCCCAGGTCTCAGAGCCACCTTCCAGACAAGCCTACAGACTTCAGCAGCTCCAATGTTCCCTGGTTCTTTCCGGCCCCAGGCCGCCCAGTTGCACACCCAGTGCAGGCCAATGTGCTTGCCTTGTCCCACCCACACACTCATGCCCACTCTGCCCAGCTTCGTACTCACGTTTCCTCTGTTGATGTAGACGGTGACCTGTCCCTCGTCCCTGATCTCAGAAAACATGGGGGCCCCCACCAACAGGTCAGAGAAGCCGTCCCCATTCAGGTCAACTGCGCATAAGGAGGAGCCGAAGTAAGATCCCATCTGCAAAGAATTGAGTCACAACAGCATTCCGTGTGTGCCTTCACACAAGCAAGCCTCCGGTTCCTCTCCTCATCACCTTCATCCCCACATCTACACTCCAGCCCCACATGGAACACTGCCCGGGCAACCAGACACCCAGCCTCCATGGGCCCCCCAGCAGCAGGCAGGGTCCCAACCAACCCGAGACCCAAGCTAACTAGCTCAGGGTTCCTGATCCCTGGAGCTCCCTCCAGAGGAAGATTTTTTTTTTTAAAAAAATCCCTTCCCTAGAGAATGAGGCATTATTGTTAAACATCTAAGCTGAGGCTGCACACACAGATCACAACTCTAAGGAAAGTGCACCATGTATCTGAAGACTGAGACAGCCAAGCAAGTAGGAACAGGAAACTTCGCAAGACAGACACAAAAATAAACATTATAGGAGGAAATTGAGATTCTCTCCTGGGCCTGGGCACAGCAGCTAAAGACAGCTTGAGGAGGCAGGAGCTGAAGGGACAGGAAAACGACTAGGAAGGTCTCAGCCGGTGGATGTCAAGGCTTTCCAATCTACAGAACTTAGCTCCTGAGTCTTCCGCTTCATCAAGGTGCAAAAGTGAAATGGATTTGTAGGAGGGCACATGCCACCCTGCATTTCGCTCTCTTCTCAGGCCAGGAACAGCGGCTAGGAGCTCTCATGATGCCAAGTGGTAGCACAGCCATGGGGAAAGTCTGCTTGCTCCAGTGCGCTGTGCTTGTGAGCTCCCACATTTGGACATAATGTACAGTAAATGCATCTTAGACCTCCCAGTACTTGGCAGTTTACAACGGGTTTATGGGCAAAACAGGGAGTATCTGTGTTGGTTCTTCTGTCATCATAGCTTATGGCACACTCATTATTTTGAGTCTGGGGTCTCCAACAAGTGATACAGCAGGTGTAAGAAAAGAAACAGTGGCTCAAGTGTGCCTGCAGGTGGACTGTGAGTGACAGCAGAGAATGGTAGAGATCGTGGCCAATGGCAGCTCACAGGCCCTGCTCAAGCAGTGCCCCACAACCAACTTCAGCTAGCTGTACTCAAGGCAAAGAGTAAATAGGAGACAGCCAACCCTCCCACTGCCCCAGAGAACCCCCAAACCTAACATGTTATTGCAAGTACCTAGTTTTTAAATTCTAACATCTGTCACTGATAGGACAGGACACATGCAAAATGCTGCGGGCTCCATCTTTTTGCCAGTTTTGCCATTTCTATTTTTTTAAAATATGTTTAAGTGCTATCTTTTTCAAAATAAATGTTTTCAGATAAGAGGGCTCTGGCTTTGTGAAGACGGACAAGCTTGTCTTTGATTGTTGGAGTGAGCTAGCTGCTGACGCAGAGAGAGGCAGGGACTGCTATAATCTATTTCCTGCAGGGGCCCTGGCACAGAAGGGCTTTGTAGTGGCCGCTCGGAACTCCTCCCTGAGCTGCCCATCATGTGCCAAAGCCACTACCCGGCCCCGTGCAAGAAGAGCACGGGCAAGGTTTGGCATCACAAAGGCCAGGAAGGACACAAACCCAGTGGCCAGCCACCCATTCAGTGGCCCTGCCAACCTCACCCACATTGGTGCTTTCATTAAAAATAACCACAAAGTCCCTAAAAGCAAAGCCATGACTGCTTTCCCTGGCCGGGCATTGTGGAACTGCTTGTTTTCAATGGGCTATTTAACTTGGCATCACTAGTGATGTTAAATCAAAACTCCCCAAACATGAAGCTTCCTATCTTGCTTTTGAAGAGCAAACAATCTGTGCACTCCATTAATCACATAAAACCCCAGGATGGCAACGACTTGCTCTTAGGAGTGGGTACCTTGGTCAGAGCTTCCCACGACCACCCTAGAAGTATGGGCTGTGTGCCTGAGGTAGCATGGGAATGCTACAGGTTCTGGTGATCCCTCATCACTGCTTAAAGGACATCAACCAGAAAGTTGGGAATTGGGTAGTGTGCATTTGGTTGGCTTTTTTGTGCGTCCTAGATAGAAGCCAGGATACAGGATCATGTGGCCAAATTCTAGCCAAAGGAAAGCCGATATGAATACCAGTAGGAAGTTGAGGGTTGCTGAATTAGAACTCCACCTTCTGTGTGCCATCCCACTCCACCTTCTGTGTGCCATCCCGGATATAGGGCAAGTGAAGGCATCCTGGTAACCCAAGGCATCTCACGTCCTCTCCCCAAGGGGTAATACAGAAGTCAGAACTCAGACAGCCTCACTTCCCCGCTCCCGCAGGAAAGCAGAACCAGAAACAGAAAGTGAGACAATGGCCTGTTTCAGAAAGATGATGTTGGGGTGGCAGGGTATGGGGGTGCTCTGGGAGACATGGGGGGAAGGACCCGCAAGTGAGAAAGTCATGAGGGAAAAACAAAAACAAAGGGTGACCTGAGGTTGGGGTGGGGTGGGAACCCCCAAAAGGAGGCCCCATGGCCTGGAGCCTGATGGTAAGATGGCCAGGCTCTCCTGGTGCCTTGCCCCAACACAGACAATCACTGGCATGGAACTGCAAGAAGTTGGGACAGGTAGGTTCCAGGGTCCCCCAACCCTCCACATTACCCTCTCTCCCATCTATTACCACGGACCCTGAACAGCCTGGGTTGGGGAGGGCAGGGGACACATAGAGTATTCAAACCAAGCAGATCTTAAGAAGACAATAAGGAACAAGTCCACCTTGTGAATGACTCCAGGAGGTATGAACTGGGCTGAATCCAGCAGAGGCAGTTGGATGGAGGTTAGGAGGCACAGCTACAGCTGAACATAGATGCTCAGGAAAGAGTGGCAGGTGTGTGCACCCAGCACCCTTCTTTGTAAGGGTCTGGCCTGGTCTAGGCTGCTCCATATTGTGGTTTTTGCGCTCACCTGTAGGGACTGTGTCCCGACAGACGAGTTTCCCAAGGGTGCTATTGTTAGCCACAAAGTCTAGAGATGAAGGATGCGAAAAGTGCTCAAAGCTCTATTTATGAGTGACTCGGCATACCCATCATGAATACGTGGAACGATGCATGCACAGGGACAGATTGGGGGCCTGGGGAAGGAACAGCCACTCTCCTGCTATCTGAAGGCAGTGTCATGACAAAGCGGCCCCCAGCACTCTCCTGCCTGCTTCAGGCTCCTTCCACACTGCCAGCATCCTGTGCTTCCTCCAGGAGCCCACTGAGGTCTCCACCAAGACAAGCATCCAAAGTCCTCCCTCCCACCCAACAAACTAGAAGACCTCAACGTGGGAGAACCAACCAAGCTGGGAGCCTCAATGCAGGGAGGACCATGTGATTTCAGCCAAACAATCCTGATGAGGTTCACACCCACTGCGAGCTGGCTGATAAGCCCATAAAGATGGGGCTGAATAGTCCAAGGACTCATTTTCCTACACACCACCTCATAAAAGAAGCAGGCACCCCAGGAAACCTGCAGACTTCAAACACTGTAGAGAAGGTCAGCACAGACAAGACCACCAAACCAACCTGAAACCTTTACGTCAAACTCCTGGAAGGCGGTCACTGACTCCCACCTGGTCCCAGCCCTCAAACAAAAACCAGTCTCTCTTGATCCCAAGAAGCTCACCTTTTTACCCGTCGCCTGAAAAATCTTGATTAGGGTGCCAGACCTTCGATCAACTCTGAAGATATAAACCTAGGGAAGGAAGAAAAAGATCCAGTTAGGATGGAAGCCAAGATGGGCAACAATAGCTTGTTCTTACTTGCTCTGTGCAAGCCAGGCACAGGGCAGGTGTGTGGACTGTAGCTGCTACACAAGGCAAAAGGCAGCCTGGTCTGATGTTCCCAACTCCATCCTCCACTCCTAATGCTGGGGCCCCCTGCTGTTATATCACAATCTGTATGGAAGCTGCCTAAAAGGAGACCCTCGGATGCTTCCACAACACTAGCACAATTCAACCTTGAACTCTTTGCTTCGTTCACACTAGGCAGAGCTTTCTCAGGTATCACAATACAGAACTGATAGTGGTTTTCCAAAATGACCCTTTGCCCTTGGTAGAGGAGTACATGGAAAAGTGTGTACTTGTTTGGGAAACATGAGGCAAGCATCAGATAAGCCCCTTGGCTATGGGTTTTTACTTCACTTTACTGGAAGATAACAGTGCCTTGAAGCTGGACTGTGGTAAACATCAATCTCTTGAAGGGTGCCATCATGCCAGGGGTCAGTCTAATGACACACACACACATTCTCTCTCTCTCTCTCTCTCTTTCTCTCTCTCTCTCTCTCTCTCTCTCTCTCTCTCACACACACACACACACACACACACACACACAGCAGTGAGGAACTTCAGCCAAGAATGGAGAGTGTGAGCAGGTTTTACATGCAGAGCATCCCAGGCAGGTCTTGCTTTTCTAGCAGTCACTGGCAGCAAGGTAAGCCTGGAGCAACTGAGCAACCTTCTACCATGGGGACCAACCCCACCAGCCACCCCACAGCCCTTGGCCCTCACCTTTCCCACGCCTTCATCCTGCGGGGCACCTCCTACCACGTCGGTTGTGGATGGGTGGGAGAAGTGGCCAGCCGTCACCGCGTAGCCTGAACAGGATGGGCGGGAACCAGGGATGGGAAAGAAAGGGAAGAAACACATCCATCAGAGGAAGAAGTGTCTGAGTGCATCCTTCTCTCTAGTGATGCTGAGGCCATCCTGGGGGAACCAAGGGCAGCTGTCCATCTTCTCCGGCTGCAGAGAAAGCCTTGGAGGTGGGAGAGAGCACCTTCTCGGGGTCCCCTCGGGATGCAACTAAAGAACCACTATCCTTAACGGTTCCCTTCTGCCACAACCAATGCTGGTAGCCATTATCATGATCTCTATTATTGTTCGTTAGGTTTGCTGTTGCTGGAACTGTAACACAACATCTGTGCTTTTCTCCACGCTGCTGAGCAGCATGCCCAGAATCACATAGCAGATTCACAGCCAACCAATGGCCCTCCAGAGACCTGGCTAATAACCACGTTCTCACCCTCATGCTAAAGCAATGGTGAAAACATGGGCCAGCACAGCACACCAAGTCTTCGTCTATAGCACCAGCATCCCATACAGGTGCAAGTTCATGTCCAGGCTGCCCCATTTCTGATCCAGCATCTCCGCTGATGTCCTTGGAAAAGCATCAGAGTTTGGCTCAAGTCCTTAGTACCCTGTACCTATGTGAGAAGCCTGGAAGAAGCTCTTGGCTTCTGCATCGGACCAGCACAGATCTGGCCACTGTGCCCATCTGGGGAGTGAACCAGCAAACAGAAAATCCCTGTCTTTTCTCTGTCTATCCTCTCTCTATTATAACTCTGCCTTTCTAATACAAACAAGCAAATAAGCCTTTGGATGGCTGGCTGCACAGGGGGAGACTGCCAGCCACAGGCTTTAAATGCAAAAGTGATCTGTAAACAAAAGCAAAAGCAGCCCCTGATGTGCATGCCTCCTGCTTTCAAGCACCCTGTTGGGAGTTCTGCTCCTGTCGGCCCTAGACAGGCTGCCACGTATTCCCCCAAACCTTGCCAACCCCACTTCCTACAACTCCACGCTGTGTTGATAAGCTGGGATAAGAACACATGGTTGTGACCGCCCTCAGACCAAAGCTCTCAGTGCCGAAGGCAAGAAGAGCCTCAGCCAAGCCTCAGAGGATGCCAGCAGTCCCCACAGGAGAGAGTGGCCTCCATGATGCTGCAAAAAACCACTGGCCTGGAGGGCTGAAGGCTGGGTCACACAGTCCTCTGCTGTCACTCAAATCACCTTCCTCCTACCTTCTCCTCACTCCGACTCAGTGGGCATGTGCAGAGTTTCCACTACACACCACGCCTTGGAAATGTGAGACCTACCCTTGGGAGGGGCAGGGCCACAGCACAGGTGCTGTCTCAGTGGTTCCTCCAGTCAAGAGGAACTCCACACTTAAGACTGTGGACCACCATCTGTCACCTCCAAGCCACGAAACATCAGCAAGATACGCTTCTTGCCGGGTCAGGCTCTTTAAGTACAACAGGTGAATCTAAGGCTGGCACAGGAACTGAAAGGAACTGTGCTTAGTTGCATAGCTTGACCTAGGGCAGATGCTGAGTAAATCCGAGCATGCAGGAGCTGGGGAAGTACAGCAGCCAGCACCCCAAAGACTCACAGGAAGACTCATGACTGGGCTCCACAGAACAGGCCAAAGGAAGTTAGCCACTTCCTACCCCTACCTAACTAGGAACTTTTTGTGATGTTCACGCAGGAGGGGACCAGAGGCTCCCCTTGACTGAAGGTAGAGTTAACAATGTGGAAGTGTATCGTTTTGCTAACTGCAGGCCTTCCTACTTTCAGCTACATCTTCAGGCCAGACTTTTAGAACATTTATGGACTAAAGCAAGGAGCCTTATCACTGTTACAGACACAAGCAAAGGCAGCCTGTCTCTGTTCTTAAATGGGCAGTGTCTGGTCCCTGCCTCACCCTTGGGAAGGACTGCTACACTGTGTCTTCCTTTTTCTAGCAGTTTGGAAAGGTAGAGAAAAATCAGAGGAATCTTTCCATGTTGTGTATGTGTGTGTGTGTGTGTGTGTGTGTGTGTTTTATTTTGGACAGAGAGAAGCAACCAGGAGAGCTCTCACCTGTTAGTTCACTCCCCAAACTCCCACAACGGTCAGGATTGGCCAGACTGAAACCACATGAGCAGCAGGAACTTAAATACTGCAGCCAACAAGACTCTGAGTTAGCAGGAAGCTAGAGCCAAGGACTTGAGCTGGGCAGCAAACTCAGGTCCAATATGGGGTACATGACCAGTGACTTCAAATGCTAGGCCAAACCACCGCCCTTCCGATCTGTTCCTTCAACTTCACCATTACGTTGCCCTCTGTCCTGACAATTTCTGAGTCTCAGGATAATTAGTCTGTACCCAGGAAGTAGAGACCCTGCTCCCCACCCTCCCCCAAAAAGCCAGTGTTTTCTTGTATTCCTTTAGTGAACTTGGGTAACTGCTGAAATAAGGAAGTAAAATAATAAAATGCTTTCATCTCTTGAGATTTAAGTGTTGGATGTTTCACTGAACTTCTAAGTTTTAACTCAGTTTCCTCCTATGATTTCCCCTCTACTTTCTTTTATTTATTTTTAATAATCTTACTTAGTTACTTAGGGTACAAAGGGTCAAGGGCTATAGGAAAGTGGGTAATACCATTGTTTTCATACTAATATAATCAGTTTTTTTTCCTGTATCTGGGGTCATGGGAGAAACAAAGGGAAAAGCCCCACCCAGCCTCCCACCCATCCCAGGTCCCCGATGTGAGGCACGTTCTGAGGGTCCTGCTCAAGCAGTTTGGATAGTTCAACGGTTCTGAATTGCTGCCAATCTCGCCATTCCAATAGCGATGAAACCTATTCAGAATCCCCTGGCTGGCATAGTGTCTTCATGGTTGGGGTTCTGAGATCAGCAGTTCAGCTGGAGGGATCTCCAAAGAAACTTCATCTGAGATGATCCCAAACCTGATGATTTCCCCTCTACTTTCCATGTGTCAGAGAACTAGACGACAAATGCATTACTTAGTAGAACAAGAGGTACAAAACCAGCTCTTCCTTCCACCAACAACACACCCATTTGTGAATAAGGAGAAACTTACTGCTTTTCCCTTATTTCTTCCCTGCCATCTCCCGGTACTCACCCAGGTAGGTGTACCGCCTGCTCATGATGACTTCATCATTCAGCTTGAAGTAGGTGTTGTCTGTCAGGTTCAGCACTTTGACTGTCCCAGCCCAATAAAAGGACCCCGGAGCACCCATCACCACCAACTCCTGCCACAAAAGGAACCCAAAGGTTAACCAGGACAAAAGCAGAGGCAGGATGCAATGAGAAACTCAGGCACAGCCAACCCTGAACGCAAGGAGAGACACGACACCAAGCAAGAATTTAAAAACAAACGTGCCAGGTTCTGAGGTCTTATGGACTCTCTTAGACAAACAGGATTACTGATGCTGAGGATACAACAAGGACTGGACAAGGTGACAGGATGTGACACATCAGGTTCCCTCTCTGACCCACAGATGGGCCGCACCTACTTACACTGCTACAACTTTATACCAGGATCAAAGAGGAAATGGAAAACACATGGCATTGTAGAATATCAAAACTCCAAGGAACTATGCTCAAAAAAAAAAAAAAAAGTTGGAACTGCCCCATGGTCAGACCCGAGCTATCACCCAACAACTACACCTGCCTACCCCACAGCAAGATGGAGCCAGTGAGCACAGTCAGCGGTGCCAAAACGGTCTACCAGGGCAAGCCCTGCAGTCCACACAGGACTATCCTGCAGGAACCCGGGTCCAGAGCACAGCTCAGGGGCTCCTTGCTCCACTGCAGACTCAGAACAAGGTCCAGAGGCCAGAGAGGTCCACAAGATGACAATAAATCACAGGCAATAAGACATGACTCTTACAAGCAGCCTCAGTGTCACCAAAGGTCCTCCACGTTTAGATGCAGGCAAGACGGTCAACGGGCCTGCAAGCGCACTGCATTGCAAACCATGTGATGACTACAGGAATGGTAATCCTAAATGTCCCCAAAGGAGTTCATGACTCAAGGAGGTCAGCACAGACACGTGCGTGTCTTCACTCACAGCTGACATGCTGGGAACAGCCTGAACACTTAACAACAGGGCTTCTGAACCAGCCCTCTCAGCATCCATGCAGCAGAACTCCAGGCAGCATCAAAAATTCTGCAGCCCAACCACAGCACTGAGGGACAGCCATAAAGCGCTTTCAAGTTCAAAGGGGATATCAAGCAGTATGGGTGCTACGATCACGTTTTGTGAAAGAAAAGAAAAAGTGTGGGGTTGGTGCTGTGACGCTGCAGGTAAAGCTGCCACCTACAAAACCAGGATCCCATATGGGCACCAGTTCGAGTCCTGGCTCCTGCACTTCCAACCCAACTACCTGCTAATGTGCCTGAGAAAGCAGAAGAAGGAGGTTCAAATGTGTGGCTCCCTGCATTCACATGGAAGACCCAGAAGAAGATCCTGGCTCCCGGCTGTGATCTGGCCCAATCCTAGTTGTGGCAGCCATTTAGGGAGTGAATCAAAAGATGGAAGATCTTTCTCTCTGCCTGTCTCTCTGCTCTCTCTGCCACTAGCTCTGCCTTTCTAATAAATAAATCATTTATTATAAAGTGAGAAAAGAAACATGTACACAAAGACCTGGAGGATAAGTCCCATGGCATGGACGCGTTTCTCCCACTGAGTGATGGGATAACAGGAATCTTTTCTGTTTTCTACCCCCAAAGTTTATCTTCTTTGTATTTTTCGCAATTCTAGAACATATTGTTTCCCAAGAGCACAGGGCTCTGGCAAAAACTCAACATGCCAACTCTTTCAGCTACACAAGGTTCCCTTCCCGCCGCTGCGCCCCTGGGCCCTCTCAGTGGACTCTAGTTCTGCACGCACACTCTGCTCCCCCTGTGCCCTCGCTGCAATGCCCCCACACTTGATGCTGCTGTGATCTTTTCTCAATCTGCAGCACTCAGCTGAGTCTAACACAAAGTGCCATCGGAGGAAAAGACAAGTCTATGACAAGTCTGCTTATAGGAAATTCCAGAATGAGTAAAACGAATCTATGGTGACAGAAGTCAGAACCATGCTCTCTGGGGTTCAGAGGAGGCACTGCCAGCCAAGGGGTGTGAGGAACTTTGTAGGGTGATGACTGGAAGGTCCTGGTCTTGACTGAGGTTGCAGTCACACAGGTGTACACATTTGTCAGAGCGTACCCACCTCTGCGTGCTACATATTGCCTTGTACTATTCGACTTACTGGCTGCAACATGCTTGATTTTTCAAAAATGATTTCTTTGTTTTACTTGAAAGTCAGAGAGGGAGACACAGAGAGAGATCTTCCATTTTCTGATTCACTCTCCACACAATCTCAATGGCCAGAGCTGAGCTGACCCAGAGCTGGGAGGTAGGAACTTCTCCTAGGGCTTGCATGTGGGTGCAGGGGCCCAAGCACTTGGGCCAGCTCTCACAGCTTCCCCAGCCCATTAGCAAGAAGCTGCATCAGAAGAGGAGCAGCCGTCACTTGAAGCATTGCCTATATGAGATGCCAGCACTCCAGGCAGAGGAGCAGCCTGATGAGCCACTGTGTTGCCTCAACAAGCTTGATATTAAAAAAAAAAAAAACACAAAAAAGAATCAGCATTCAAACATGAGAACATCATCTCACAACTGCATAGCAGCTGGTGAAGCTGATGTCCCACAAACACTGAAAGGAAAAACCACCAGGCCCAGGCCACAAAGCCCCCAGGTCCGCTAGATGTCTTTGGCCAAGGCTTCTGGGCCTCCTTCCCCAACCGCAATAAAGAGAATGCATTAACATTTGCTTAATGAAAATCATTCATATTTCACCCAACAATGTACCCTGCAACTATGTATGAGACCACAGGGATAGAGATAAAGAATTCCTTTGAGTGACATCCTTGGGGTGTGGTGACATGGAAGCATGCAAACTACGACATAAATAGCTCTACCCTAAAGGGTTGAAATGACACGAGAGGGAGACCATACAGCCTTGGGGGTGGGCACTCATTTGTTCTCCTGTCACCTGTGAGGGACACCACCGTGTCTGGAAGGGTGTGACAAAGTCAGTGAGCAGTGCCTCAGAGGCTTAAGCTTGGAGAGGACTCTGCGGTCAGGGTGCAGAGATGAGGGGCCCTGCTGGACACCAACAGCATCCGCACCCAGTACCAGTGGTGCGTGGGGCCAGGAGCTTCCACCTGCAACTGTCCACGAGCCACAGCTCCAAGCCTCAGCCTAAACAGGACAGCAAGGGCTCTGCAAGACGCAGACGGGGAACCCTGACATCTTCACCAATCCCAGCGCCAGTCAGGCCCAGCTCTGCCCAGCTTCTCAGGTGACATGGGGCATGGTCAAGGTGGGCTGGCTGCTGACAGACAAGCTGCTGTGTGAGGATTCAGATTAGAGTGGAACGAAAGTTGAAAGATGCTCTCTCGAAGGCCATGGAAGATCTTAACTCAGATCTGTTTTCAGTCCTGTGAAAGCTCCCAACATTGAAAGCCACTTCATATTCCCGTCTGCCCGAATGTCACACATAGAAATGCTAACTTGAGTCACAACCACACCACCCAAGTCCCTACCAACAGTCACCAGGAAGGCCTCTCCCTATGAGCAGACTCTCCAGAGCAGAGGTACCTCAACAAGGTATTGCAAGGGATGGGAGCTGGCACTGGGAGTCCTAGGCTATAGTGAACCCCCAGCCTCCACCTTGGGGTCTCCGTGCTCCTCCAATGCCAGCAGCAGTGTCCATGTCACTCTGTCCTTTCAGATAAAGAAAGCTCCCGGATACTGGCACTGCTCCTGGGGCTCCCCACAACCCAGAGAGATATGAGACCCTTGGGGCACTGACCTTCTTACTCCCCAACGCCAGAACGCTCTGGGGCAACATGGCCATGGCCAGAAGGTCAGAGGGGCCAAGTGACTGTATGGCCTGATGAATGGACAGACTGGCTCCCAGCAAAGGCAGGCCCATAAGAGGAAGTCAGCTAGAGGGCAACGGGGAGGGTAGCATCTCCCACCCCACTCCCAACCCCTGCAGCTACATTTCCTGTTCAGCTGAAGTCCTAGAATTGGAAGGAGGGAGACAAGGAGTTCAAAGACCTCCAGTTCAAGGAAGCCAAAAGCCTGGGAACCAAAGCTGAGACCAAAGCCACTTGGGCCAGGAGACAGTGGTCTGCGGTCAACTGATGGGGTAGCAGCTCGAGGGGCTGCCTTCTTACCAACTGTCTCCCCTCCCCACCCCATCCCACCCCAGCCCAGCCCTAGGCTTCTGCACCCACAGGGTCCCATCAGCATACCCCAAACCTCTGCTAGGTGCTGGAGTTCCAACAGGCCCCTTGGACCACCCAGCTGGATACCCAGTGAAATAATGAGGTTACTTTACATCACACAATATATATATTTTAAAAAGTCTAGGGGCCAACTGGCTAAGCACCTTCAAGGATCCACCTTCCACATGGGTACCAGTTTGTGTCCTGGCTGCTCCACTCCTCATCAGCTTCCTGCCTGTGGCCTAGGAAAGCAGCAGAGGATGGTCCAAAGCCTTGGGACCCTGCACCCATGTGAAAAACCTGGAAGAAGCTCCTGGTTCCTTGTTTCAGATTGGTTGCAGCCACTTGGGGAGTGAATCAGCTGACACAGGATCTTTCTGTCTCTCCTGTGAATCTGCCTTTCCGATAAAAATAAGTCGGCCCACCTCAGTGGCTGGATGGTGACTGCCTCCTCTGGGAGGTCAGAACCCCACTGCCACCTGCGGGAGGAGCCCCCAGCCCAACCCTACAGAAGAAAGGGGGCACAGCACCTAGGGAGAAGCCCCTGTTGATGCTGCGCACGTGTGGCTGGGCGGGCAGCATGGCGGAGGCCATTGGGGTCTGAAGGCCAGAGGTGACAGGGTCTGCGGATATCCACTGAATGAATGCAAGTGAATATTTTGTTGTCAAGGAGAAAGTACCCTTCCTAAGGCAAATAAATTTCTAGAATCCCAAAGGACTGATTCAACCAATCCAAAAGGTTTCATACCAGCACCACAAAGATGACATGAACAATTCAGATGACAAGAAAAACACCAATGGAAAATCTGTAACACACATAAGGAGTCAGAGACCAGTGCTAAAAAAAAAATGAAACCGGAATATAAAATACAGATCAGTAAAACAACAACATAAAACTACAACAAACTAAGAACATAAGCAAGCGATTTCCAGAAAGGCAAACACAAATGACCAACAGTTGATAAAGATACTAGACGATACTATTAATCAGGGTGTAGGACATTAGAGCAAACTATTAAAGTGCCGTAGACAACATGGGATGGATGAACTGGAAAACCGCCAAGCAGGAACTCTCTCTGGTGTGCAACTCGCCAGTAGGAGGGTCTAAACCCCCAACTTCAGAGCTCCTCAGCTGGGACCCCTCCAAAAAAATACAAGGAGTTAAGATGCCACCTACCACACCAGCTTCCTGGACTACAGCAGCAGTTCAAGCCCCGGCTGCCCCATTTCTGATCCAATCCCCTGCTAACACGCCACAGAACGCAGAGGGAGATGGGTCCCTGGGAGATGTGCTCAGAGCTCCAGGTTTCTGGCTGACCCAGCCTGCCCAGTGAGGCCATTTGGGGAGTGAACCAGCAGATGGCAGGTCCTCCCTCCGATCCACACACAACTCTATCTGTAGCTTTCCAATGAGTTTGTTCCAAAAACAGCCCCAAGTCACGGGGACTGGAGACTGTGAGCAGACAGGGTTGGCAAGGCCAGGAAACAGCCGAGACTGACAAAGTAGGACAGCCTGCAAGGCGACAGGGCAGGTGTCAGACCTTTACTCCCAGTGGGATGTGAAGTCACAAGGAGCACTAAGCTCATTTTCATTTTCTCAGAGATGGTGCTGGCCACCACGTGTGACCTGTCCACGACCCAGCAACTTGGAAGCAGCAACAGGTACTCTGCAATGGGTTGGCAGGAGGATGACAGGGCAGAGACATGTGGGGTAGCAGAGGACGTGGATAGAAAACTTGCATGGTGGGTACAGGATAGGGGACTGGCTTGCTGGGTGCTGGGAGCAGAGTGAGGCAGGCAAAGGGTCAGTGAGGATGAGAGGAGGTGCCATGCCCAAGGCCTGGCATGGAATTCTGAGCAGAGTGGAATGTCACAGAAATTACACTGGAGTGAATGGAAACAGTAAGAATGGCTGATAGGGAGGGATACACTTGAGAGGGAGGTCTGTCACACTCCTTGGTTTGCAAGTAAAAGATGGCAAATGTCCCCTTTCCACCCTCTCCTTGCAGCTTCTGAAGACACTGTGAGCACCCACCATCTTCCTCCTCCTTGAACTTAAGTGGCAGACAGTGGCATCCTCCAGGTGCTGCTGGGACAACAGCGCACTGTTTGGCATGAGCCCCTGCCCCTCCTCTGCTCTGCTCACACCAGAGAATGCAAGCAGTGAGCCTGGACAGCCAGCCCCAAAGGCCAAGACTTGTCGGAGTTGGGGCTTTTAATCATCTATGGACTGTGAAACCTCGGGGTCAGAGTAACACGAAGGATGCTGGAAGATCTCTTGGGCTGTGGTGCACAAAACCCAAGGGCAAAGAATGGGCGCATGGGTCAGGAATGGCTGATGATGAAAACGTTCTGAAACAGTGCGGGGGTGACAGCAATCATGCTGCGTCTGCACAGAACACCACGGAGCCACACGCCATAAAACAGTCACGCTGGGGCGTGTTCCATCAGAGCATTTTGTTTGTTTATTTTCTGGTTTTTAAATGGACTACAGGAGACAGGCTGGGGACCATTGTATGATAATGTTGGTGATGATGACAGCCTCTTTGGAAGCAGGCTGCTGACAACGAAAGTCATGAGGTCACAAAAGCTGGGTACAGGGTGTGCGGGGGATGTATGTTTTGGAAGTTTAAAAAACAAGACTTTAGGGCCTGGCGCGATGGCTTAGTGGCTGAATCCTTGCCTTGTTACTGCCAGTTTGTGTCTCGGGTGCTCCATTTCCCATCCAGCTCCCTGCTTGAGGCCTGGGAAAGTAGTGACGGATGGCCCAAAGCCTTGGGACCCTGCACCTGTGTGGGAGTCCCAGGAGAAGCTCCTGGCTCCTAACTCCTGGCTTTGGATCCAGCTCAGCTCCAGCCATTGTGGCCACTTGGGGAGTGAACCAGCGGATGGAAGAGCTTTGTCTCTCTCTGTCTAAATCTGACTTGCCAACAAAAATAAATAAATCTTTTTTAAAAGACTTGAGGGAGTCACAGTTTTGAATCAAAAAGGTAATCCTCCACCTGCAAATGCCATATGGGTGCTAGTTCATGTCCCGGCTGCTCCACTTCCTATCCAGCTCCCTGCTTATGGCCTGGGAAGGCAGTGGAGGATGGCCCAAGTCCTTGGAACCCTGCATCCAGTTGCAAGCCCCAGAAAAAGCTCCTGGCTCCTGGCTCCAAAACTGGCTAAGCTCCAACCATTGCAGCCATTTTGGAAGTAAACCAATGGATGGAAGATCTCTGTGTGTGTCTCTCCTTCTCTATAACTCTGCCTTTCAAATAAAATTAAAAACAGGGGGGGAAAAGCAGACATTTTTTTGCCGATGAGTTACAGGAGGAGTAAACAGCATCTTTTTGTGTTCTGCATAATTAAATGGATGCCAGTGTCACAAGAAGCCTGGTCTGACACTTTGCATGCAGTAAAGGTCACCAAAATCCTAAGAAATGACAGGTGAGGGCCCAGTGCGATGGTGCAGTGGTTAAAGGTCCTTGCCTTGTACACCCGGGATCCCATATGGCCGCCGGTTCTAATTCCAGCAGCCCCATTTTCCTTCCAGCTCCCTGCTTGTGGCCTGGGAAAGCAGTCGAGGACGGCCCAAAGCTTTGGGACCCTACACCCATGTGGGAGACCAGGAAGAGGCTCCTGGCTTCGGATTGGCTCAGCTCCAGCCATTGCGGCCGCCTGGGGAGTGAATCATCGGACGGAAGATCTTCCTCTCTGTCTCTCCTCTCTGTATATCCGCCTTCCCAATAAAAATAAAATAAATCTTTTTTTAAAAAAAAAAAGAAATGACAGGTGATATGAAGGGGTGCAGTCCTAGGTGGGCATCTGGCCTGGGGGTGAAGAGGCCACCCACTACACACCTAGCTTCATCTCCCAATTCCAGCCTCCTGCTAACATAGGCCTTGGAAGGCAGCCAGTGCTGGCACAAGTAACTGAATACCTACCACCCACATGAGAAACCTAGACAGTATTTCTGGTGCCAGGCTGCAGCTTGGTCCTAATCGCAGCCCTTGTGGGTGCATTGGGGAAATGAACCAGCAAACTGAAGACCTCTCTTTCTCATTCTCTCTCTCTCTCTCTCTCTTCCCTCTCTCTGTAACTCTGCCTTTCAAATAAAAAGAATAAACTAAATCTTGAAAGACAGGAAAGAAGGGACTTATCCAAGGATGGGCTCTGTGGCACAGTGAACTAAGCTGCGGCTTGAGATGCCAGCATTCCCTGGCTGCTTGACCTGCGACCCAGCTCCTTGCTAACCCACCTGCAAGGCAGCGTGAAAACTCCAGTGCTTAAACACCTGCCACTCATGTGGGAAACCCAGATGGAGTTCTTGGCTCCTTGCTTCAGCCTGGCTGGCTCAAGCCTGTTTGTTGCAAGCATTTAGGTAGCAAACCAATGGATGGAAGGTCCATCATCTCTCTCCTCCCTCTGTCTCTCTCTCTAAACCTCCTTCCCTTCCCTGGGACAGGCCTTTCAGAGGGAAATAAACATTTTTAAAATGTCCCTGCAACTCAAGGCCAGGCTATTGCTGCCAAGGCACGCGGGCAGGGGCCTGCACAGGCTTTCAGCACATAGGACTGGATCAGAGGCACAGAGCAAGAACAGAAAGCATGGTGAGGCTCCACCCTCACACTGCCCACAGCCAGGCATCAGGCTCACCTGGGCCCCTCATTTGCTTCTTCCATGTCCCCATAGAAATCTCCCAATGAGCTGGCCCAGGCCACCTTACCCAGTGGTCTCTGGCCAGCTGGTTCCCCTACTCCCTCCATCACCTGACCCACACATGGTTAAATGACTTTCCCCAACGTGTGAGGACCACAATATGCCCACTCAGGCCTCGAGCACCTAGAACAGAAGCCGGATCTCCAACGCTGGCCCAAAACACATGAGGCCAGGAAACAAGCACTCCCCAAGGGAAGAGACGCACCCACAGTGCTGGCACCCACCTCGGTGCAGAAGCCGGCGATCCCCGCCTGGCAGGAGCCGTGTTCCTCTCCATACTTCTTCTTGTACTCTAGAGGGGAGGGAGGAAAGACAGCAAACCTCAGCATGCCAGTGTGTACCAGTCACACATGAGCAGCTGGCCACCACCCCACGGCCACTGCAGGCTGGTCCCAGGATGCCATCCAGCCTGGGAGCAGCATGGAAGGGAAGTGCCAAGAAGTCAATTGACTTCTAAACTCCAGGGCCCCAGTGCCACCAGGAAGGGAGGCAGGCAGGTGACCCATATACTCTCCAATCCTGCAAGGGAGGAAGGGAGGAAGGGAGGCAGCCGTAGCAGTTAAGTGGGAGGGCTGGGGACAATTGGGTCATTGACTTCAGAAAGTATAGGGCTCCCTAGTGGGCCCATGGAGCTACAAGCACAATGCAGAACTGGAATGATGTGGTTGTCTCCCTGAAAACACCTGACTCAACCACAGGTGCCATACCTCCTCTGGCCAACTAGAAGGGTACTGTTGATCAGAGCTGCAGAAGCAGGACTGCCTGAGCAGGTGGGCGGGCTGGCAGCAGCCTATGGCTGTACTAGGGATGGCACTGCCAAGCCATGCCTCACGCGGATGCCTCCTTCTTGTGTGGGAGGAAGGTGATACGATGTCCCAAGACCAGAAGCAAACAAAGGGTCCACTGCATTGCTCCAGCATCCCTTGACTCCCAACATTCCTGCCCAGCATACAGACATGTTGGGTCACTGCTGTTTATTTTTAAGTTGGCCAGGAAGCAGCAGGAAGCTTTCAACAAAAGTTAGCAAGTCCTGGCCACTGTGTTAAGTGTTTGTACTCATACCATTTCATTCAGCATCCTATCCCTGTGCCTACGAAATCACATCCATCCACGGATTAAAAGGTGAAGACGGGGAGGCTTGGTGAAGTGACAAGTACAGTCCAAGGCTGCATGGCTTCCTTCCTGGGGTACCCTGGTGTGTGGGTTATCCAGTCACCCCGGGCTGCTGGCCAGTCTCTATAGCGCCCTTCAAAGCCAACACGTTTATTTTTGAAACACAAGATAAATAATACAAAGGAACAATGCAGCAGCAATTGCAACACAGCGCCACTTCCTGTGGCTCAGTCTACTCCAGGCTGAGGGAGAGAGGGCTCTAGGGATGCAGGATAATTCAGTTTCTAACAACACTCACCGCAGACCTAGTAACACGTTCCAGTAAGTGGCCATTAGCTGGCCACTGAATGACAACAGAATGTCGACCGGGTGAGTCCTCTTCCGTGGGAGGGCACTCAGTCCCTCCAGCCCCACTCTGCTGTTCTAAGAACTCCTTGCCTTCCAGAAGGAGTCCAGTGAGTGACCAACAGAACTCATTTGTGCCTTGCAAGGTCTTATGCCAGGGCTGGAAGTGCAGCGGGATCAGGGGAGTGGGCAGGGCAGTGGGAAGGGGTGGGTAGATTAGAGAGAGGGGAAAGGAGGGCTTATAAACCATTTTATACAACTGCATGATTGTGAGGATCAAAATGTGCCAACCCCAACACACCACTACAAACTAGACCTGGGAGGTCTGGCACAAAACCCATCTACCCCACTGCCTCTCCAGAACAATGTTAACATCAGACAATCAGATTCCCAAAGCTGAACAAAACGGCTATACCGGGCACCTTAGCAACCCAGCCTCACAGGAATTCAGTGGGACTCCCATCTTTTTTTAAAAAGATTTATTTTTATTATTTTTTTATTGGAAAGGTGGATATACAGAGAGGAGAGACAGAGAGGAAGATCTTCCGTCCAATGATTCACTCCCCAAGTAAGCGCAACGGCCCATGCTATGCTGATCCGAAGCCAGGAGCCTCTTCCGGGTCTCCCACGCAGGTGCAGGGTGCCAAAGCCTTGGGCTGTCCTCGACTGCTTTCCCAGGCCACAAGCAGGGAGCTGGAAGGGAAGCGGGGCTGCTGGGATAGAACCGGCGCCCATATGGGATCCCGGGCGTGCAAGGCGAGGACCTTAACCACTGTGCCACCGTGCCGGGCCTGGGACTCCCATCTTTAAATCACATAGTCTCTGGGTTGGTGCTGTGGTGCAGTGGGTTAAATGCTACCAGTATCCCATATCTGAGCAGTTTCTAAGCACCAGTTTGAGTCCCGGATGCTCTGCTCCCCATCTGACACCCTGCTAATGTGTCACAGAGACAGCAGATGGCCCAGGTCCTTGGGTCCTGGAAGCCACAAGGAAGACCTGGATGGAGCTCCAGGCTCCTCCCCTGGCCATATCTGGCTATTGTGGCTGCTTTGGGAGGAAACCAGGAGACGGAAAACATCCTTTTTTTCTCCCTCACCCTGCCTTTGGAAGGAAGGAATGAAGGAAAAAAGAGAGGGAAGGAAGGAGGGAGGTGGGAAGGGGAATGAAGGAAATATTTTAAAATAATTTTTTAAAAACCACTCTAAACAAACCATCTCAAGGCCTCTTAGTACATGGTGACCAAACACTCAAGACACCAAACTCCAGTGCCTTTTCCAAACCTCCTCGATCTCCTCAAACTGCCATGGCCATTACCCTTGGAACAGCACCGAGGAGCTTTGTGGCAACCACAGCCTCTTTAGGGAATGGGGAGCATTCCACTGCCGGCCCAAGCTTAAGACCCTTACAGACACCCTTGCCTGGGCCAGCAGGAAGCACCACTTGGGGCCCAGCCCTCCCAGGATGGGATGCCCTGACGTGAGCTGTGCTGTGTGTGCTGTGGGACACCCAGAGAAGTGGTCACCATCCCAAGCCTTGGTGTTCTCTAAGGCCAAGGTGCACATGTACCATCTTGGAGCATTCTCAGGCAAGCATACCAGGAACCTGGGGCCCCTGGATGGTACCACCCACCCACTCACACATCCCCGTGGGAGGACAGCGCTGTTGCAACCCCTCACGATTCTGTCATGAGCCCCTACACATGGAGCAGGAGGCAGCTGCTCTGCTTCCGCCCCTCCCCCTCCATTCTACCTCAAGAGACTCAGCTGCTCAGCCTCTCGTCCAGGAGACCATGCGGGTAAGGGCGAATGCCTCCCTCAGACACAGCCGACTCAGTGCGTGCACACACAACGGGGAGGGTCTTCCTCTCAGGGCTTCCCCCCGCATCTCCCCACCCTTCCAGCCCTGTCCTGTCACTTCAGGTCTGGCAGGCTCCCAGAGCACCATCCCAGCCCTGCATGAAACAGAGTCATGCTGTGGGTTCTGCACCTCCAAGGAGCCTAATGAAGTGGTGTGAGTGATGGCACAAACCAAGAGCCCACAGGATAGGCCACCTGGGTGGTCAAGGCCTGACATGGGCTGGTTGGAGCAGGGGCCACACTGAGCATCCACACTGTGGCTCTCTGACTCTGCCCAGCCCCTAGCAGGAACTTCTACCAACCCCAGGACAGCACCATGCCGGGGGCCTCAGTGCCTGCCCTCCTCGGCATGGTGCTGCAGCATCGTCCCTATAACCCTCCACCTGCGGTGACATCACACCAGCCACAGCAGCCCAGACCCCATTGCTAGTCCAAAGAGCCTTCTCCTCTTGCATACACCACAAACTCACGCACCTATACCACATGCTCATGCAGACACACACACCAACCATCTACACACACTCACGCTTACTGTGCTGTGCCCTGGATGCCCACTGACCCTGACAAAGTGGGTTAAGGGTCGGCAAAAGTGAGGAAAGTGAGCAAGGCACCACAGGAGGTGAATTGACCCCTGGGTTTCAACACTGACCCACGACTGGCCAGGGTTCTAGGATTTCCCAGACACACTGAGAGATTCCCCCAGGCCCTGTACATATTTCTTAGTTTTGAATGCTAATCCTCTGGGCTAGGGACACCCTTACTATTATCTCACCCCCCCAAAAAAATATTATCTCACCCCCCCCCCAAAAAAACCATAAGAATGGGAGCAGGCATTGTGACACAGTGGGTTAAACTGTCACCTACAAAATGTCCACATCCCAAATGGGCACGGGTTCGTCTCCTGGCTGCTTCGTTTCTGATCCACATTCCTGCTACTAGCCTAGGAAAAACAGTAGAAGATTCCCCAAGTGCTTGGGACCCTGTCCTCAGCAGGAGACCTGGAAGATGCTCCAAGCCATTGCAGCCATCTGGGAAGTAAACCAGCAAAAGATAGATCTCTCTCTCTCTTTCTCTCTCTCCCTTCCTCCCTCCCTCCCTCCCGCCCCCAGCTTCCCTCCACTCACTCCATCCCTCCTTCCCCTCTCCCCCTAACTTGTTCAAATAAATAAAAAGGTAAAAAAGGTAAGTTACGATTTCTCCTGAATCTACCCTCTGAATACCCACACATGAGCCTTTCTTCCCACAAAAGCATACACCGTCAGTGCCCCACATCTGCAAATTCAACCAGCTATGCAGTATACACTCCAGGAGCAGAAAGTGCATCTGTGTGGGACAGGTACATGCATCCCTGCCCTGGGAGCAGACAATGCATCTGTGTGGGACAGGTGCACACGTCCCTCACCTGGGGACATACAACACATCTGCATTGGACAGGTGCACACATCCCGATCCTGAGGACAGACCGTGAGACAGGTGCACACATCCCTGACCTGGAGGCAGACAGTGCATCTGTGTGGGTCAGGTGCACATGTTCCTGACCTGGTTCCCTAATCAATGCAGCTGAACAGCTGTCCACGCTCACTGCTTTTCACGTGTGACAAGTCATCCCAAGATGATGGAACATACATGAGAGGGTGTACCTAGCTCCTACACAAATATTCTGCCCAGTCCCATGAAGAATCAGAGCATCCTCAGATTGGGGTAAACACAGAGTGTGGAACTAGTTCCCACACAAATATTATCTTTAGGCTTATTTTTTGAGATTTACTGATTTCCTTGAAAGGCAGCTTCAGGGAGAGGGAGGCACAACACGCACACGCACACACACACACGCACACGCACACGCACACGGAAAAAGCCTTCCATCTGCTAATTTACTCCGCAGACATTCATGATGGCCATGGCCAGTCTAGGCTGAAACCAGGAACTGGGGGGCTTTCCCAGGTCTCCCACATGGGTGCAAGAGCCCAAGCGCTTGGCTCACCTTCCACCACTTTCCCAAGCACACAGCAGGGAGCTGAATTGTAAGTGGAGCAGCCAAAATATGAACCGATGACCAAACGGATGTCAGTGTGTCAAAATGCCAATTTATCCAACTGTATTACAACACCATGTAAGACCGATCAATTTAAGAAGCAGAGAAAGCGAGAGAGCAAAAACATCTTCCATCTGCTGGTTTACTCCCCAAATGGCCCAATAGCCAGGCATGAACGAGGTTGAAGACCAAGGGCCAGGAGCCATATCCCGGGTCTCCCACTGGGTGTTGGCACTTTAATCACCCCCGTTGCCTCCAAGGGTCCATTACAGGAAGCTGGATCAGCCATCCAGGACAAGAACCAGCTCTCCCATTTGGGATGTGGCCATTCCAGGTGGCAGATTAACCCACCATACCACATTGCCTACCACAGCTCCCCGATACTGGGGGGGCAGCAACTGCACACACAGTCAGCCTAATCACTTATACCCTAAAACACTTGATTTAAAAAAAAATTAGGGGGCTTAAAACCACCTTAATTCTGACAGTCTCAACCTGAGCCAGTCAGGCAGCCTGAACCACAAAGCTGCAGGAAGCGAGGTAGGCACAGAGGCCAGGGGCAGCCCCTACGTGGCTCCCCAGACACCAGCGTCACTCACCCTCCCTCCACAGAGAAGTCAGAAAATGCAGGGTGGAGAGACCCAGCCTCCCACATTCCCAGGAATCGTTTTTCCTGTACAAATACAAAGGCTGTGAGGCCAGGCCCATGAGCGCCTCCTGTCCACTCAGGAGCCCATATGCTCACAAGACCATGGCTCCCGCAGAGGCCAGGATCTATTAGGCAGACAGAGCTATAGCACACTGGCTCTCTCTCTCGTTTGCTCCAGGATGCAGGGTAGCAACTCCCAGGCATCCTGTGGCTCGCCTGACTCTGATCCGTAGACAGGATCCTGGGGAGCAAAGACTGGAGAGGGAACATCCAGAGACCACCAGGAGGAACTGGGCAGAGATGAGAGACCTCAGCCATGGGTGGGTTTGAATTATGAGGCCTGCGCCACACGTTATTTCATAGAGTCATAGGGCCTCTTCATTCTAAAAATGGTAGTATTATGTTTGATGTAGTCACTGCTTTTATTTAATCCTCTCTAAACAGAAGGCAATTCAGAGAGGGGGAAAAAAAAATGTACTGGTTTCCAAATGTTTGCCATCTGCAACTCCACTAATAAGTTTTAATGCATTCAAGGTGGCCACTGATTGGGTGGGACCATTTCCTCTGCCCTTCCTAAAACGCTGGGTTAGAACTAAGCCGCAGGGAGACCAAGGTTTACACACAGCCTAACATACATCCTTCCTAATCATCTTTCTTCTGACTGCTCACTGGAGAAAGTTGCATCTTTCAAACACAGCCTGTTTCATTGAGGTTTAAATGCTTTTTCCAGTTATTATGAAATAAATGCGGGTGAGCGGACAGACAGCTTCTGAGTCTCACGTTTATTTCTAAATGTCACTCAGGAGTGTTAACTCTGAAAACTTTATGATTAAACTGCTATTTAGAGGGCAGTGCATTTGGGCAGGTGGATGTAGACACAGTTAAACATGCAACAACGAAGAGAACAGGAAACTACGCCAAGTGGCCACGCAACACAGATGCCAACACTGGGCTGGCACAGGGATGATCGGCATGGCACCTGTGCAAGAATGACACACAAATTCCTGACATATTCCAAATTTGAGTGGAGCTGGTGTGGGGAGCGGGGATTGTAACATGAAAAACAAATAAAAAGGAAAGCAGAGTAAATGAGCTAAATAGCTAGGCTAGAGGAAAAGGTAGAACATTTGATCCAAATGTCTGCTTAAGTCATGGTGAATTTTAAAAGCAAAGGCGAACAAACTCAGAAACTCGCCATCTAATTAAGCAAGGAAACAGAGTTTTAGATGAAGAACAGATCTTCCGAGAAGGTGTCACAAGTCTAACCCACCCACTGCTTTCCCAGGTGAGGAATCCAGTCCCTGATAGGGCAAAGGATTCCCTAACACCACTGGCCAAGGCGCCCAGAGCAGGGCCCGTCTGTCCCCGTACACTCCGCCACACTATCTCACTTCCTAAAATACCTCGAAGCTTTGTTCTTGGTCCTTCAGAAGCTGCTTTCAATGGGGGAATGAATGGGTAAACAAGATGCAACACAGACAAGGAAACAGTATTCAATCTTTAAAGGGAAGGAAAGGTTGACACCTGCTACAACCCAGATACTGCGCACAGCCAGCACCCAGGCATCTCCTGCCATCCGCCTCGATTTTGGGATTAAGGGAGTAAAGATGGTAAAACTCAGAGACAGAAAGTAAGACTTCCCTGGGGTGTCCAGGGAAGGAAGGTGACTGTTGAATGGGTATAGAATCCAGGTTTGGGGTGATAGAAAATCAGAAAATGTTCTGGGAAAAAAACTGGCAGATGGATTCTGGTAAAGGTTGCACAAGGCAAGTATAGTCAAATCCACAGAGCCCTATCCGTAGTACAGTTGTTAGCAAGGTTAATTTAACGCTATACAACTTTTACAATCGTAAAATGCATCTTAAGAGGCTAGCACTGTGGTTCACTTGTTGCTGGCAGCAAATGCATCCCATATTGGAGACGTAGCTGCCACCCACATGGGAGCCCATATGGAGTTCCTGAATCCTGGCTCTGGCCAGGCTCCAGAGGTTGTGGACAATTGGGAAGTGAACAAGCAAACAGAACATGTGTGTGTGTGCATGCGAGAGAGTGTGTGTGTGATATAATCCTTTAAAAATTCCTTCCAGGGCCCGGTGGCGTGGCCTAGCGGCTAAAGTCCTCGCCTTGAACGCGCCAGGATCCCATATGGGCGCCGGTTCTAATCCCATTCAGCTCCACTTCCCATTCAGCTCCCTGCTTGTGGCCTGGGAAAGCAGTCGAGGACGGCCCAAGGCCTTGGCATCCTGCACCATGTGGAAGATCCTGGCTCCTGGCTTCGGATCAGCACAGTTCTGCCTGTTGCAGCCACTTCAGGAGTGAACCAACAGACAGAGGATCTTTCTCTGTATCCCTTACTCTCTCTGTATACCTGCCTTTCCAATGAAAATAAAGCTTTTTTAAAAATTTCCTCCCACCCAGAATCTAACAACCCATCTTGCCGACTGTTTCAGATGTGGAAGCAAACCATGCTGCAGGAGGCAGACGGCATTCTTACCCTTCATCTCCTATACACGCTGTCAGTCTGTCCTTCCTAAATAAGGTGACCTGAGACACAGGACTGTCACTTTTCAGTAAAAAACTCCAGTTTAGAGTTGGGTAGAATTCAATGTTGTAATAAAACTGGTGTGAAAACCTGGACAAACTGCATTTGAGATATTAAAACCACATGTCTGGAGTAGGGACAGACCTGGGACATAGAACCTTGGCTACAGCTGATCTGACCAAGGGGCCAGGTCTATCCCTGGACATGCGAGGGCCTGTCTGTAGTGTGGGTCTAACATTGTAAAGCTTTAACCTGGTTTTAAAAGCCTATACTGAAATGTCCCCCAAAATTCTAACATTAAAAACAGGGTATTTTATGGGCCCGGCGCGGTGGTGCAGTGGTTAAGGTCCTCGCCTTGCATGCCCAGGATCCCATATGGGCGCCGGTTCTATCCCGGCGGCCCCGCTTCCCTTCCAGCTCCCTGCCTGTGGCCCAGGAGAGCAGTCGAGGACGGCCCAAAGCTTTGGGACCCTGCACCCGCGTGGGAGACCTGGAAGAGGCTCCTGTCTTAGGATCGGCATAGCATGGGCCGTTGTGCTCACTTGGGGAGTGAATCATCGGACGGAAGATCTTCCTCTCTGTCTCTCCTCTCTGTATATCCGCCTTTCCAATAAAAAAATAATAAAAATAAATCTTAAAAAAAAACAGGGTATTTTTCTCTGTGATGGGTACCCCCAGTAATCACAGAAAATTCCAATGGAATAGTCAGTTACCTAGAAACCTACTCTGAACCTGAGGCCTGCCATCCTCACCCCTGCCTAGCAGGTGGGTGGGCTTCACCCACTTCCAGTTGTTTTCATTTGAACAAGAATGACGATGCTTGCCCTGACATGATGCAATTACTCAGGAAGGCCTCTGATGTGACGTACCTAGCACAGCGTTGAAAGGTGCTCACCAAATGCTAGGTACCCCGAGTCTGTTCGTTCTCAAAGAGATACACATCACACAGACACAGCATTTCAGAAGAGGACGTGTATAAGGAACACATCAGAACAGCAAAAAGCATTAAGCCATTGGCAATTCTACACAATGCATGGAACCGTGCATGCAACACAGGATACAGTTTGGCTCAATTCTTCGCTCCCAAAAGGAAGGCTCCATGGAGCTCCTAGTGCCCAGGGGAAACCCCAACAGCAGTCACCCCCTCTTCTCCTTCCACACCTCCCCCGCCTAGGCTGTCTCTTTAGGCCACCATTCCTCTGTCCCCCAGCCAGGACCTCCAGCCGCCTTAACCAGCCATAAGGCACAACCACATCCTCTTTGTAAAGTGCTGTGTTTTACTCAAGTGAGATAATGTTTATGAAAGCTCTTTGGAAACCATAAAGTCCTATGCAAATGTGGATGTTCTTATTTAATAAAATGTTAAGAGGTCTATTCGTGATTCTTTAAACAGATCATCTTGGCCTCTGAAGGTTCTCTCCAAAGCAAACACGCAACACAACAAAACCTCTATTGCTTTTCATTTGGAAATGGACCTTGATTGATTTTTATCCCCTGTGGAGCCCGAGTCTTCAACATTACAAGGGGGAAAACATATCTGCACGTTTGAATGATCCCTTGAAATGATCACTGGTACAAGACACACAAAATACATGGGAAAGAAAGAGCCAGCCATTCCTCGATAATAAAACCAATGGTACAGAAATCACTGGAACTGATGCAGCAATTTTAAAGCACAGTAAAATCAAATCAAGTCATGCCTGGACAATTCCAAGCTGGAGAAATTTTAAACATGGCAGGAATTAAACTTTAGATCATGTTCCCAAAAATGGAAGGCAAGTTTCCCACGCAAATAAATGATGTAAATAGGACCTTCAAAGATATTCAAGAAATTATCTTTTAAGGAGCTCTTAAAATACATCTTAATAATATTTGGTTTTCTACCCTCCATTATCTATTACTAAAACAGGATGTGTTAGTCACATTACGGGAATGTTTAGGAATGTTATTACCAGAAAGTTAATTAGAAAATTCACATTTGGGGTCAGTGCTGTGGCTTGGAGGGTTAAGCCACTGGCCATGACACTAACAGCCCGTATTGGAGCACAGCTTCCAGTCCTGGTTCCCGGCTTTGGACTGGCTCAGCCCCAGTTGTTGAAGTCATTTGGGCTGTGAACCAGTGGTGAACAATCTTTCCATGTCATAAATAAACACAGGATTGTTGAACAATTCCCATTTATTGGGCACACACTCCGAGCTGGCTACTATGTTGACACTTTCTGCTCCTGATGACAAACACCTCTTGGGAAGGGCTTACTCTGCCCCTCTTACAGATGAAGGTCACCTAGACAGGAAGCAGGAAAGAGCAGGTGCAGAGGCGAGTTCTGATGGTTAGGTCTGCAGTACCAGGTGGGTACTTCTCGCTGCATTTCTTTATCAGCGCTTCCTCTTAAGTGTTTTTTACTTCCTTAACGAGCTGCTCCCAAGTTACCCCACTCTCCAGAGTTCTTTCTGTCGCAATCCAAGGAGGACTCAACGCTTACTATTCAGCCAGGCTCAAGCACGAAGGACAAAAGCCACCTCTCGGCCTACTTGCACACACAAACCCAGCTGTCAGGAGTCCTCCGCTGCCCTGGTGTGGCCAGTAGTGGGAACCAAAATTTAATGGTACATGATTTTCAACTTACAAACAACCCAGTCGTGTCTCTGAAGCTCTTTCTCCATGCTCTGGGCTGTGTGTGACACTTGCATCAGATGCACAGTCAGATGGGCTATGTGACTGAAAGGTGTACTCTGCCTGCCCACCTCCTATTATCCCCACCCCCAAACTCTCCTCATTTCCTGGTTCCAACAGGAAGTTCTGGTAGCCTTCCCCACCCAGTTAGAGACAGGAAGCACCTGAGCCGCCCTGACCCAGCTGTCGCTCTCACACTCTCTCTATATATATACAAGGCTGTTTAAGATTTCCAAAGCTGTGTTTGGCAAGGTGTTCATGGGTTTTACCCATCCCAGCCAAGCTTGCCGACAGGTGAGCACCCCAGCCCTGGAGCATCCCCTCACCATGGAGACCCCAAGGAGGCTCCAAGTACAGAATGGATGTTCCTTCTGCGCATGCGCACCTGAGCTTTCTCACCAGTTTCTCAGGGTAGCTCAGAGAGAGGTAAGATGCAGAGGAGTCTCAGAACATCTGTCCCACATTGGGTCTCAGGGAGTTCACAGTCCCAGGGAGAAAGACCACTGCTGAGGCCACACCTCTCTTGACCCCTCCCACAGGCTCTCCACCATGCTCCGGAAGTGTATCCAGGGACAGCAGTGGCACAGAAATCGCTGGAACTGATGCAGCAATTTTAAAGCTCTCCCCTGCTCCATACATCCTGGCTTCACAGGTTGAACCGTGTATCAACTACAATGACTCCTTAATGCAACCTTGCCCGCCCTGGCGTGCAATGGGATTCCTCAGGAAGAGGCCCCCTGTTAGCAGGTGCATGCAAAAGGGGGCAATTGTCTCCCCACACAGCAAGCCCACCCTCATGAAGCCCCTTGCTTCTTCTCTGCTGCCCCCTGTAGGTGGGGAACTTCTTGGCAACGGTGACTATGTCACTGGGGTTATATCTACCTGGTAACCAAGTGACACCAGAGTACTTCAGACGCTCATGGTGCAAAACGATGAAATCCATCCCTACAAGGGATCTTCATAAGTTCATGGGAAGGTGGGCCTTGGTGTAGTTATGAAACTACTACAATAGACTCTTTGCAGCCCTTACCAAGATCCAAGTCTGCTCTCCAAGCCAGCTTCCTGCTCCTGGATATCCTGGGAGGCAGCTTTGATGACTCAAGTACATCAATGCCTGTCCTTTCCTCACCAAACTAAGCTACTGGCTTCGGCCTGGCCCAGTCCTAGCTCCTACAGGCATTTAACCAGTGAGCCACAGGACGGGAACCATCTCCCCCCACACTCTGTCACACTAACTTTCCATTACATTTTTTAAAAACAAAGTATCAGAAGGGGCATAGAAAACGTGTAGTATAAAAAAAACAATGCATGCTTTTTGAAAATTTTTGCACCAAAATGAATTTTTTTTGAGAGGCAGCGAGAGGAATGTGTGTACATGTGTGTCTGCTCACAGAGGGAATGGGACAAAAGGAAGGCTACCAGTAGGTGAGGCCACAACCACTTTGCTCATCTCCTTACTGGCTACGTTGGATCACTGTAAAGTTAGGGCGCAATCAGAACAAAGAGGCCTAAGGGTCCCCAACCCCTCCGTTCTCCCTCTCTGGAATGGCTACCACTACCCACAGAACTGGGTTCCTGACACCAGCCCTGTGCCAGTCGCTCTGTCCACATAATCACCACAGCCAACATTAGCAGTGACAATGGGCCAGTGTGGGGAGCCAATCCGTGTTGGGCTCTGGCCATGGGTTCAGTCCAGAGTTCTGCTCCATGCACCTGCTCTCTGGAACCCTTGAGCTGCAATGGGGTACACTGCACGGCTAGAAGCTGAGAAGGACCTGGGTTAGACCCCAGCACAGCAGGGCTGATGTTGCATGCAGAGCATCCCATACGGGCAGCTGGTCCTGACCTACTCACACTCACATTTGAGATTTCAGTTCCCTTTCTTGCCTTCCGAGGGCTGCCGACCACCTTACACTGAATACACAATCTAACAAAAATCACTGCTCACCATCAAGGCACAGGGTGGATGGAGACGTCAACTCCGAGCTCTCGCACTGAACAAGTGACTCTCAGCAAAACACATCCCGAATTTGGAAAAGGTGTGTGTGTGTTGGCGGGGGGAGGGGGGAAGCTGGATGCGGTAAGTGGTTTATACCTCCCCCAATTCCCACCCCCAGGGCCATGTGCTGGAGGCTTGATCCCCGGGATGGTGGACGCAGTTAGCAAGTTCAACCTGGTGGAAGGTGACCTGGTCTGCTCTCCCGCAGTGGATTCATTTTCAAGAGAGCAGTTTGCTCTCCCCCTGCTCTGCCTGGTGACAGCCACAGAGCCCCTTCTGCTCCCATCTGTTCAGAGCTCCCCCTATTACCCCAGCTGCCACAATATGAGGCAAACAAAAGGGCACTGCCAGTCCCCAGCAGCTGCCAGCGCCTGTGAGCTAAACAAACCCCACTTCTGCATCAAGCACTGGCCCCTGGCAGGTTGCTATAGCTCCCCAGGGAAGAACCAATACAAATCCAACAGTGATGCCTGCCTTGGGTGCACCACCCTTCCCCACCTGCTCTACGCTCAGAGGCTTCCCAGGCCTAACTCAAGGCAGAACAGGATGTGGGGTGGGAATGAAAAGAGCCCAAGCTGCACGCTCCAGAGGGATGGGTGGTTTCCACTCTGGCCTCCATCAAGGCCCACAGGGACTGTGTCCCAGCCACCCACCATGATAGCCTTCTGTGCAGCACATCCTTAGTGGGACCCCCTCCTTCCCTTTCCCACTTCCAGCCCGCCCCATGGGTATCTTTGAGAAAAACTTCTAACCTAAGCACTTGGAACCAAAAGCACAGGAAAACCAAATCTGCTTGGCTGGAGTTGGGTGATGACGGTGAAATGAGGAGTTGCCAGACTGCAACACTGGACCACTATGGATTCCACAAGGGGTTAATAAAGATCATTTAACAGCACAAGCCACAGCCAGGACTGGAAGCACAAGCCCTGGACAGGAGCACCTTCTGCTGAGCACATCCTTTGCTTTCCGATGCCTACGGGGTGCGCAGAGAGGTCACAATGCAGAGCTACGTGTCCCCATGGCAACTGGAGGTCAGGCTAGGGGTCAGTAAGCCTCATCACCCTATGGCTACTAGATGACAGGTTTGGGTTCAGAGAGTCAGGCCACCCTGTGGCTACTGCAGGCCTAGTTTGGGGTCAATGATCATGGCCATCCTATGCCCACCCCCCACTGGCATGGATTACCTCCCTTGCTTCAGCCCTATGAGCTACCCCTGTGTCAGCCCAAGTCTTTTCTCTTCTCTTCCTGTGGAAAAGGTTAGAGTGAGTCAGACAGCCAGGACATGAACCTTGGGGACCCACTGTCCTTCCCTCGCCATCAAGCATACACAGCTGTTATCTGTCAGACGTGTACATCAAGGCAACACTCCACCCGACTTCAAAGCTGTTTTGCACCAAGCTATGGAGTCTCTTCCCCACACTCCAGAGTTCCCTCGTACCATTCTCTGTTTTGACAATGGGGGTGGTTTTCTGCTGACTGAAACAACATGGAGATACAGAAAGACCACAGTCGGATTTCCCCACACGACCCAGCCAGAGCTGATCAAATGCTGATAGACAGAACAAAGCAAGCCACAGGAAGAGGCTTGTGCCTCTGGCAGGGATCCTGGCGGATTCCTCCACGGGGTCACGGCACAGAGTACCCTGCTCAATCCATCCGAGGCCCCAGGAAAAATGCAGTGTCCAAACAGCAGTGCTCAGAGCGCACTCCAGGGGCTGCATGTGAAGCCAGGGAGGCTGAGGCAACGCGGATATGGGACAGTGGCCATTCTGTCCAAACTAAACGGGGTGGGCGTGAGCAATTAAAAATGAACAGCCCTGTCCTTAGACAGGGAGCTGCCTGGAGCCGTGGAGATCGCCCTGGCCGACTCCAGGACAGGCAGGCAAAGTGAAGTGTGCTTCCCGGAGCCACCAGGCATCCAGAGTGGTAGGAGACCCGCAGCCTGAGGCTCACTAAATTGCAGTTCAAGACTTCAGAAGGCTTGGCAGGGCCCCTGACCACTGTGGGAGGCCCAGGAAAAGTTGGGAAAGGCCTGGAAACACTACTGCATTTGTACCTGCTCTTAGCTCAGCAGAGTCTGGGAGGGACATCAGAAGGCCATCCAGATGTGGGCAGTGCTATCCACTCTTGGCACTTGGGAAGCTGGGGCGGGGGAGTAGCGAACATGCAGGTGGTGGTGTAGGGAGGATGTGAGGCAGGGAGGGGGGTGATGGCTCTTCAATCCACACTCACCTTCATAGCACGGGATTAGCGACCTGCCTCTGCCCTGTAGATTGGAGGGGATGATGTAGCAGAAGCCATGGGGCAAGATGTGGTCTGATTCATAGTAGATGTTCTTCCAGCGGTGGGCACAGGCCTAAAGGAACAAAGGAATGGAAGGTAGGAAAGTCAGACCTGCAAGCCACAATACCAGGTGGCCCTGTGGGAAGAAAGAATGGAGAAGCAGCCAGAAACCCAGCCATACCTTCACCCCAGACCTTGTACAGGGCATCAACGAACAAAAGCAGCTGCATGTGCTGCCCCAGGAACTAGTAGGAAGACACAGGCAACACTCCATCAGTGGGCATTGCAACTGGTGCCCAGCACCAACAAGGAAGCATAGAAGGCTACAGCACAGAGGTGTGAGGGATGGGTCTCAGCTGGAGCAAGGGTCCATGGGGAGAGTTCCAGGACACGGAAACATCAGGACACACACATGGAGAGGGGTACGGAAAGGAGGACACAGTAGGGCGGGTCTGGAATGACTGTGGAGTGAGGCAAGATGTGGTCAAAGTATGCAGGTCCTTCAGAGGATGAAAGATGGGGAGCTGGCATGTCTACCCAGGTCTGACCCATGGTGTAGTTAGTCATCTCATAGGCAAGCAAGAGTGAGAGTGAGCAAGGTAGGAGATGTTGCAGTCCTGGGTCAGGGAACAGTGATGACAGGGACAGAGAGCTAGCTTTGGGCCACATGCCACATGTGCAGCTAAGAGAATCCACAGGGCTGGTGAGAGCCCAGGAGGGAGTGTAGCTGGTCCTGAGCTGCTTGCTTATAACTACAGAAACACTGCACTGCCTGCTAATGGGATTTCCTTCCAAACGGGTACTGATGCATTTGAAAAACAGAATGACAAAGTTTGGTCTTCCATCTATCCACTATTCCCAGATGGCTGCAACAACCGAAGCCAGGCCAGACCAAAACCAAAGCCAGGAACTCCATCTGCGTCTCCTACATGGCGGGGTAGAGCTGCAAGGACTCAGCGCATCAGCAGGGAGCTGGATCACAAGTGGAGCACCTAGGACCCAAACCAGTGCTCCCATCTGGGATGCTGGTGTCACAGGCAACAGCCTAACTCACTGTGTGCCACAAGGCTAGGCCCTGACAGTCCCTTATTTATTATTTTTTTTTTTTGGAAGTAACTTGATAGATAGCAAACAGCACAATCTCAAGAAGCGCCTGACTTGAGCTTTGCAAATGTGCACGCTCATATCTTGAAACCCCTAGCAAGACGCATTTCCTTCCCACTCCAAGTGGCCAACTTCCCCACGCTGGACAGGGAGGGGCCCTGAGAAGAGGCCACCCTGGGACGGGCAAGAGTTTAGTACCAGTCAGAGTTGGGCAGACCTCCCTGAAGCCATTCTCAGCCTCTCCTCCTGAGGGACCAAACTCTGCAGGAAGCACCACAAGGCCCATGGCAGCGCGGATAAGACCCGGTTCCGCCCTGTGTCTCAGACAAGAAGGACAGGCACCCTTGTCCTATGTGTGTCTGCACGTCCACCAGTCGTCACCGTGGAGAGGAGAGCCAGCCGGTCTGGCCCCTGCCTCCTCCAAGTATGCCCACTCACCGCTGCTCCCAGCGCCCTGGGCAGGCCAGTTGGCCATCCTCAACTGCTTTCCCAGGCCACAAGCAAGGAACTGGATGGGAAGTGGGGCGGCTGGGACATGAACCTACACCCATATGGGATCCCAGTGCATACATGGCAAAGACTTTCACCACCAGGCTACTGCACCGGACCCCACATTGTTTTGTTTTTGTTTTTGCTTTTTAAGAATTTTTATTTATGTACTTGAGAGTCAAAGCTACAGAGAGAGGAGTGACAGAGGATCCACTTGTTCCATCCACTTGTTCATTCCTCAGATGGCCCCAACAGCCAGGGCTGTGACAGGCTGAAGCCAAAATCCAAAGCTTCTGCTGGGTCTCCCACGTGGATGGCAGGGCCCCAAGCATTGTCCTCGGCTGCTTTTACCGGGTACAGTAGCAGGGAGTTGAATTAGAAGCGGAGCAGCTGGGACTTCAATATCCCTGCTCTTCATCCTGAAGGCCGACAGCCACCAGCGCCCCTCACAAGGCCCCTCAGGAACCCCAGAGGCCAGAGGGAACAGCACACTTGTCAGTGGATGCAAATGATACTGGGCAAGAAAGCCTAAAGATGCCTAAAGACCCCCCAGGCCTGTGGAGGCTCAAGATCAGGATGAAAGTGGCATAGCAACTACAAATAACCTGCCTGCCCACTCCCTCTTGCACACATTCACTCATCCCTGAGTCAGTTAGAATAACTACTGCAATGCGACACTTGTGTAAATACTTGCCATCCTGCATTGTTTAGATTTGAATGAGAAGACTATAAGGTCCATGTAGCCGTGGCTGTTTTTTCTTTCCTTCACATATTTTTGACCTACAGATACGCAGCGTGGACTGCCACCGATGCCTTGGTTTTTATCTTTGACTCAATCCCAACAGTGTGTGAACTCGAGTCATCTATCATCACCTAATGCAGGGGTACCCTAGTGATGCCCGAGTTCCTGGGCTCATCACAGTCTGTGCTTTGGGGACCCACCATGTTTTGTGCTATCACTGTGGAGAAGGGACAGGTCGTACAGACCTAAGCCGTGTGTCTTTGGGTACACCGAGAGCCAGCTGCACTGTGACACTGGGGAGCACATCCTACTGCAGTGACTGTCTATGCTCCCTTCCCTCACTTTTGGGGCCACACACGTAGCGAGTGAACTTGAGGGGTTCCCAGCAAAGCCAAACACTGCCTTTCACACTCAACTGCACCCAGACGAAGGCATTCGGGGCAAGTAGAGATCCAAGTGCCAACACCAAGACCCATTCAGGGACACAGTGACAAGGGCCTATGCAGAGAGATCACACACAGTGAGCACTGCCTTAGCCCTCGTGACCATTACTGTACACACGTCAATTCAAAAAAATTCCAGGGAGGGTCTCCAAAGCACAAAACCCTCCATCAATCCCTCCACCCAAACTCCAGTGAGGGCAGAAGACAGAAGATGGGAACGATCACAGGGGCAAGGAAAGCCCTCCCTAAGATCAGAAAATCTGCTCAGCCTCACCTCAACAGTCCAAGAAGGAGAAGAAGAGGGCCTTGCACCACGACAAACCCGAGGGTCTGCCACAGTTCCACATGTATGTTTACTTCCCACCCACGTGGCTTTAGCCCTGGGGAAGCTCCTGGCTCCTGGCTCCTGGCTCCTGGCTTTAGCCCTGGTGAAGCTCCTGGCTCCTGGCTCCTGGCTTTGCCCTGGTGATGCTCCTGGCTCCTGGCTTTAGCCCTGGTGAAGCTTCTGGCTCCTGGCCCTGGTGAAGCTCCTGGCTCCTGGCTTTGGCTCTTGGCTTTGGCCTGGCCCAGACCCACCAGTGCTGTTATCTGGGAAGTGAACCAGTAAATGAAAGATTCTCTTTCTCCCTCTCACTGTGACTCTGACTTTCAAATGAATAAATATTTTCTAAAAATTAAAAACACACACCCACTTCTAGATATCCAAATGAAGTCAAGCAGAATTGTGAAGTTATCCTATACATGGATACTTATCACAGCATCATTCTTTTCCAATATATATATTTGAATATTTGTAGATTATATATATATATTTGAAAATATATATATTTGAAATATATATATATATATTTGAAAGTCAGAATGGCAGAGAGAGAGAGAAAAAAAAAAAGACAATGAGAGCCCTTCCATCACTGATTCACTCCCTAGACAGACGCAATGACCAGGCCTCGGCTAGTCAGTTCTCCATCAATAGCGTTATTCCTAACAGCCAAGAGACAGACGCCACTAAATGCCCACCAATGGCTGAGCAAAGGTTATGGGAGGGAAGCACACTGCACACTGTGATCCAAACTCAAAAAGACGAAATCCTGCCACCTGCCTCAGCCTCCCAAGCTAAATGCAAAGTTACTCCACAACTCCCCCTGCACAAGCTCTAAACTAGCCATGTTCCAGAACCTGAACAGCTGCTGCCAGGGCCATGTGGGAGCACAGCAAAGGGAGTTGCCGGCATGAACGTGCAGTCTTGGCCCCACAAGGCTGGCGACGGCCTCCAGCTGCTCCCAAGAGACCTGGCAAGGGGACTTCGCTCCCTGACACTGAGAAAGACAGAACTCAGATTCACAGCTTCTGCCACAGAGAAGAGGAATGCAAACATGAGCTCCCCTAGAGAGGGCACAGCAACCTTTGGCCTGAACTGCTTAAGAAAACATGCCCCTAGGCCCAGGGAATGGAACCTACGAAAACTCAGCTTCACAGCAGCTCCAAGACAGAGTACCCAAGACGGATGACACGGATACAAACTTTCAGGGAAAACTTTCAGGAAAATCGGGACGGCAACACGAACTACGACACGGGCCTCCTCTTGTAGGAGGAGGTGAGTAGGGAGGGGCCGGAAAGAACTGGGATGCTGGAAATATGGGGGTATGCAGGTGTGCACAGCTGTCAAAATACACACTGTAATCTGAAGATCTGTGTATCTGATGTAAATTATTCCTTGACATCAAGAAGGCAAAAATATGCATGTGACACATGAGATGCACAAAGCATGTGTCACTTGTCACGGTTCAGCAGTCATATCCCAGTGCCCTGCGAAGGCATGAGCATGTGTCAGCTTTTAAGTGGAGGTGCAACTAAGCAGTGCCAAAGCCACACTGTCCCCCTGCCATCGAGTGTTCCTACAGGTCCTGGTCTTCGGTTCTCAGAGCACCACCCCACCCCGGGACCCCCAGGGCCTTACCAACACGTGTCCATCAGCCTTGGGCTGCCTGGCCAGGCTCACACCCATCCACTCCTCATCCCGGTCTTCCCGACACGTCTTCCCACAGGATGTGCCTCGATTCTTTCCTGGAGGGAGAAGAGGAGAGTCAGGCATAGGTGGATAAAGGATGCTCACCGCTTTGCCAAGGATGACCCACTGCCCCAACGGCTGCCACAAGACATCAATCACTCTGCCACTAATGGCACCATGTGTGTTTTGGAGCAAGACTTCCTCTGAGAAGGGTGTGTACATTCTATTGCAGTTCCTCCATTTGCAAGGTTCCAGGGACAAGCAGCTCCCAGCCAGAGAACACCACAGACACCTGCCCTTTTCTGCTACAAAGAATTAACACAAATCTTTGCTTTAGAAACAATCACTAAGGGACTGGTACTGTGGCATAGTGGGCAAAGCTGCCGCCTGCAACACTAGCATCCCCTGAGGGGCTGGTGTGAATCCCAGCTGCTCCACTCTCAGTCCAGCTCCTTGAAAATGTGCCTGGAAAAACAGCAGAACACAGCCCAAGTGCTTGGCCCCTGCTACTCGTGTGGGAGGCACAATGAAGCTCCCAGCTCTCGGCTTTAACCTGGCTCAGCGCTGGCTTGGTGGCCACTTACGCAGTGGATCAATGGTAGAAGGCCTCTCTCTTTCTCTCAAACTCTAACTTCTAGACAAATAAATCTTAGGGGAAAAATTATTAGGGCCCCATTGGTATAGCACAGCATGTTAAGCCACCATCTGTGACAGTGCAGAGTTCTGGCTGATCTGCTTCTGATGCAGTTCCCTGGTAACAATGTGCTGGGAAAGCAGCAAAAGACGGCCCAAATGCCGGGTCCCTATCATCCATGTGAGTGATCTGGGTGAAGCTCCTGGCTCCTGGCTTTGCCTGGTCCAGCTCCAGGCACTGTTGCTATTTGAGGAGTGAACCAGCAAATGCAACAGCTCACTCTCCCACTCTCTCTCTCTCTCTCTCTCTCTCTCTCTCTCTCTCAATTCTGCCTTCAAATAAATAAACAGACCTATTCTTAAAATAGCCACTAAAAGATCCAGATGGGAAAGGACTCAGGAGGAAGCAAGGACTTGAAGTGACAATAGTAAAAAGCAGGCCCTGTTCACGGAGTAGCTACTATGGCCAAAGCACAGTCCCCCCTTAGCTGTCTTGGTCTTCTCGAGCCAGTCCCTGCTCAGTGGGTAATCTCAATCTTGACTTCATGGGAGGCTGCAGGACATTTTGGACATGTCTCAGCTGCACTCTGAACCTAGGCTGACTCACCAGAAGGTATTCCTCCAGACCAAAGTGAAAGCCTTCACCTGATCGTGTGGTCCCCTATTTACAATACAAAAGCTAACATTATTTTAATGGTCTTTCCCCACCGTGCAAAAAACAAGGCCCCAACACCTCCCCCTGGTTAGCCCAGATTACCTGGCCAGCCTCCTCTGCTCCTTGTCCCCTGCCCACTGCTGGCCATTCTGCCTTCCCAGTGGCACACCACTGCTTGGATGCTCCACTTCCTGGGCCTGCTGGGCTAACTACCAGGCATCTTTCCAGGCCTGTAGGGAGGTTCCCAGAGAGGCCTTTCACATCAAATACCTGGCTTCCCTCTGGCCTGCTCCCACTCAATTACCTAGCTGAATCTCTCTCTTGCCCACTAAGTGTCAAGGCCCAGGATAACAGGTTCCTAATGTGTTTATTCACAGCTACACCCCAGTGCTTCATAGCTAATGTCAGAGGGAGCATGTCAAGGATGGACAGGTGGATGGAAGGGCACACACATGAGCAGGATCGGGCCATTCGGAGAAGCAAAGGAGTGATGTATGAGGACATAGTAGCCACTGCCACTTGGACAGCACTGAGCACCCACCTCGAGCCATGTCCAGTTCAGTGCATCTCTGGTCAGGGTTGGTGTGGACTCGGCACTTGAACACAGCCCCAGGGGACTTCACAGCAGTGCTGTATTTGGAATCTGCCTTCGGTGCACCCACAAGGACCCTGCACATCAAAAGGAAAGGATTATCTGTGACAACCCAGCACAAGAGAATAGGAGGCAAGTCATTAAATCCTCACCCAACCACAGACAGGCCAGGTGAATGTTTGCCAGGAGGCACCAAGGGGTCCTCCAGGGATCCTGTTAGATCTTCTCCAAGTACATTCAAAGTTCCAAAGCTGGTTGGGAAAACATACAACACAGATTCCACTCCAGAATCCGTAAAGAACTCCTAACAAATCAGTAAGAAAAAGCCAAAACTAATAGAATAATGAGCCAAAGACTTAAATACTTTGAGAAGGAAGGTGACCAAAGGGCCAACACATCCACGAGAAGGTACTCAAGTGCATCAGTGATCTGAGAGATCCAAATGGATACCACTTCACAAGGACTCCACAACTTACAAGACTGGGAATGCCAAGCACTGCCAAGGAGGCTCATCCACTGCTCTTAGAGTATAAACTGTCAAAACCACTTTGGAAAGCTGTGCAGTGCTTTCTAATAAAGCTACACACATACATACCTACCTACCCACGGCCCAGTAATTCCATTTCTAGGAATACAGCCACCAGAAACACACAGATATTTACCAGGAAATATACACAACTGCTCACAGCTGAATCGGTAATAGCCAAAAACAAAAAGAAACCCCAAGGCCTCTCAGTGGTAGAGTAGATAAGTGGGATATAGCAATACAACGGAATTCTACAGTAACACAGAAGAATTTCATAGTAACCACACTAGAACTCCATAGCAAACAACAAATTTCTACAGTAACACTTCAGAACCCTAGAATAGCGCAATGGAACCCTATGGTAACAACAACAGAATTCTATAGCAACAAAGTAAATCTTTGCAGAAACCCTATAGAACCCTATAATAATACATCAGAATCCTTTAGTAACACACACTAGAACTCTACAATGAAGGAAATCTCAACAGTAACTCTATGCAACCCTGTAACACCACAATGGAATCCTTCAGTAACACAACAGAACTCTACAGCAACATAACAAACCTCTACAGTAAAAACACGGAACCCTGTAATAACCTAATATAATCTCAGAGTAACACAACAGAACTCTATATGGTGAACACCAGTCACCTTTAATCATACAGACAGACCTCGCAAACAGAAAACTATGCTATCTGGTCCATTCATCTAAAGTAACAGGTGTTAATGGCCAGGATGATGAGTACGGCTGGAAGAGCAGGGAGTGTAACAAGGCAGAACCAGCTTCAGAGGGCTAAGGAGAGGCCATCTTTCAACCTGAGCAGTGCTTCCCCAAATCTGCGATAATCCACTTAACTGCCTGATAAGAGCGCTTCTCTGGATATGTGCTTCACATCAATGAACACAGGAAATCTAGGCGCTAGTGTTGTGGCTTGAGCGGCCACTCACATTCTATATTGCAGCACCAGTATTTGTCACAGCTGCTCTATTTCCAATCCATCTTCCTGCTAATGCGCCTGGAAAGAATGGCAGCTGACCGACATGTGACATGCGTGAGAGACCCAGACGGAGTCTCTGGCTCCTGACCTCCACCTAGCCCAAACCTGGCTGCTGGGATGATTTAGGAAGTCAGAAAATAGAGTCAATCCCTGTGTCACTATGCCTTCCAAATAAATCAATCTCGAGAGGAAACTTAGAGGTACCAAGTATCTTCTGGTTCCCCCCTTCCCTTCTAATCATCACACTCCACCTGACGACAAGTGCAATGTGTGCATTTAGGAGAGAACAGGAAATACATAGTAGTACCACAGCACAAGCAACATCCATCCCCACGCAGAAATGGAGCCAGAGCTGGTCTTGGGACAAGGATGAAGCTCTGCCTCATGTATCTGCCCCACCCCTAACAGGTTCCTTCCCTGGCCACAGGGCAAGAGCCAGACATGCCAAGAAGGCTTTGGGCCCGAAGGGATGCGGAGCACAGGGGATGAGGAGGGAGGCGACGGCAGTAGGGTCCCTTCCAGATGCTTCAAGAACTCTCCAGCCCTACACTGTTTCTGCAAAGCCATCAAGCGAAGATCTACAGCAGAGAACACACAGCGACACTAATCAGGCAGCGTCTGTGCTGAGTCAGGAGCCAAGTAGAAAGGTCTGGTACAAGGAGACTTTAAACAAAATCCACACAGAAGTTCAAAGAGAAAAATTCCAAACCACTGCCCAATGAGCACACGGGCTGCTCCCCATCCCAAACAGCCTAGATGGGAGATGGAATTCACTCCATAAGTGAATGTGATACATTGCAAGAACAGACCATCTCCCATGGGCCCTGGAACAGGACACCTTTTCCACAATACTTGTGAGGACAAGGCATCCAGCCAAGGTTACACAGCCCCCTGGAGATGCAGAAAGCTGGCCCAGCACCAAACTCTGCACTGTAAGCCACCTACATCACTGATGTAGTCGCCCTACCCTTTTCTCTGAATGACACTGTTTCCCAACCCCCAACCCACATGTTGACTGGGCGTGGGGAGAACACACAAGGCCTCCATGTTGTACAAAAACAGTAGAACCCTGCAAATGAGACCTCAGCTGGGCAGAGACAACAACGGACACACACTGTCGCTACCAGGGATCAGAGACACCACAGTGCCAAGCACCACCACAAGAGCTGTGGAGCCTCTCAATTCTTACTGCCAGGGCCTGTGCTGGAGTGTGGCAGGGAAAGCACTGCCTCCAATGCCAGCATCCCAAAGGGGCACTGGTTTGAGTCCCTTCTGCTCTACTTTCAATCCAGATCCCCTGTTAAGGTTCCTAGCATGGCAGCAGAGGATGGCCTCAGCGCTTGGGCCCCTGTCCCCACGTGGGTGACCTGGAGGAAACTCCTGGCTTTAGTCTGGCCCAGCCTTGGCCAATAAAGGGGTAAACTAGAAGATGATTTTTCTTCCCCTCTCCTCCCCTCTGCTCCCCTCCTCCTTCCCTTCCTCCCTCCCTCCCTTTCTCTCTCACCCAGGAAAGTCAGGCCTCCTGGGAGGGCCCCTTCCCAGAGCATCCTTGGAGGGCACTGCTACAATCTGAATATGTAACCTCAAGAATCCACGTGCTGAAAATATATTCCCCAAACTCCCATGTTAATGAGATTTGCAGGTGGGGCCTTTGGGAGCTTATCAGAAAATGATGAATTCACAAGGCTGGAGCCTCCACGCTGGAGAGACCTGAGCTAGCAGTTGGCTCTGTCATGCACGTGAAACCCTCCCCATGTTGTGATGCAGCAAGGGGGCCCTGCCCAGGACCAACCAGAGACCAACACCTATGTTTGGTGAAGTCTATGTGGCATTCAATTGCAATGACACTAAGATGTCTTGGAAGGATATTCCTGGAGTATGACAGGAGCCATGCCTCCATTAGAGGACACACATACACACAGAGGCTGCCCTGCAGCCCCCCATAATGTCCTGGGCAGTTCTTTGCAGATTTGTGCTGGGCAGCTCAAACTCTCAGCCTCACCATGGTGGGCACAGCTGGAACACTGCCAAGCAGATGCAGGGCTGGCACCCACAGCCCCTTGGCAATCTCAGTGACAGACTTCCCAACAGACCACATGGCCCTACTCTCCCACAGGGGGTGGTCTGTTGGCCTTTGGCTACTCTACCCAAAAGCACAGTGGCACAGCAAAACCCCAGGGAGGAGAGAAAGCCACATTTGGAAGCCCAGATTTCGCCCCAGTTTCGCTACAAAACTGGCCACAGAGCCAGCTGTCTCCACCAAGGAGCAGGGCTAGCGGTGTGATGCCTCTCCCTGAGCTGGAGCATCTGTGGCCTTTCCCTGGGTCACCCCCAAGAACTGGGGAACCTGTGTCGCCTCCTCTGCTGGTAGACAACCCACACTTCGTGCCCACTCCACACCGTTCCCACTACAATGAATAACTGTCGCTTGAAACCAATGCATACTATACAACACACAAAGAACAAGGCAGGTTGAGAGTTCATCATGCCAAAGGGAAAGAAACAGCTACAAGAAACAGCAGGCTGCTGGTCTACCTGCCCTCAGACCAGCACGGAGACTGCATATTTCAGATGGCAACACTGCTTCAAATTCACACACACAAACACACACAAATTTTGTAGGCTGTTCAGGAAGGAAGGAACCCTGGAAAGCTTCACCTCTAGGCACTACTTCCCCCAGCCAAGAGATCAGATGGACAGGGGACAGAATTTACATCAAAACCTAAAGTGGAGGGCCTGGTGCAATGGCCTAGCAGCTAAAGTCCTTGTCTTGCACGTGCCAGAATCCCATATGAATGCTAGTTCTAATCCTGGCAGTTCCACTTCCCATCCAGCTCCCTGCTTGTGGCCCGGGAAAGCAGTCAAGGACAGCCCAATGCCTTGGGACTCTGCACCCATGTGGGAGACCTGGAAGAAGCTCCTGGCTCCTGGCTTCAGACTGGCTCAACTACAGCCATTGCAGTCACTTGGGGAGAATCATTGGATGGAAGATCTTCCTCTCTGCCTCTCCTTCTCTCTGTGTATCTGACTTTCCAATAAAAATAAATAAATCTTAAAAAAAAAAAAACTAAAGTGTAGATGAGACCCATTGGACAATCTCCTTCCAGATTCAGCCCAACCCTAATAGCCTTCTGATCCAAACTTGCAATCAGGTGAGAAGGCTCTGCTCAAGCACTGAGTAACGAAAAAGGGAGGGAGGGATATGAATGTGTGTGGACACACAGACACAGGAGTGGCTCATGGAGAATGGGCTTGTAGCTCTACTCTGCAAAACAGCATGGCTGCTTCTGCAGCTGCTGGGTACCCGGAGCTGGCAACTGGCAAGCCTCTGACAGTGGCCAGCCTACGAGCATGGCTTTTCTCAAGTGTATTCAGCTGGCTGTTAGCCAGGCAGGTGCCATGAGAAAGAGATCACCGAGTCCCAGACAAGCCCGGTGGTTTTGGCATTTTCTTCTGAGTTAGAGACAACATGGCCACTTCAAACATCCTACCAACCAAATCATCCCTGAGACTATCTAGGCAAGGTCGCGCTTCTCACCTCTGCGCACTCCAT